TCTAACAAAACATTGGTTGGGTTGGAGATGTAACCACACGTAGGTCATTTTCTTTGAAGGTTAGCTATGCGATGACAATAATGAATAAGAGTCGGGAGCAACGGTTGGAATTTTTGGGTGTTTTCTGTTGAGAATATTTTATGGTGTCAAATCTAGTTAAATATCTTTGTCTTTGTGTAGTTATTAATTAAATGTGTAATATGGGCCACAAATGTATATCAGCCTGTTAGCTTCTTTGTAACCCATAAGTTAGTCATCCTCTCCTATAAAAGGAGGCTAACTTACGGGAAACCGAACGATTGAGGATTTAGAGAATAGAGGCGCAGAGATAGAGAGATTAGGGTTTGCCGCTGCTCTCCTTCTCGAGGGAGAGCAACGGCCATTATCACGGTATACCAGATTTTTTGAATATCTCATATCTTTCTATCTGCTTCTTCTTCTTTATCTGGTATGATTGTGTGATTGTTAGTATAGTAGGTTTAACAATTGGTATCAGAGCCGAGGCGTGAAACAGGTTGAATCTATCTTCGATTTTTTTGGATCTAACGAAGAACTGTTCTGCTTTTCCTCTTTTTCTTCAATAGAGATTTTTGCTCCTCTAATCTTGTTTGTGAACGAAAATCTGTAAAAATTATACTGTTGGAATCGCCTCTTCAAAACGATTCTACAGCATATCTTTGTTTTTCGATTCCTGCAAATTTTCAATTTCGAAGAACTCTACATGAAATCTTGAGTTTATGCTTTATACATGGCCGCAGAAACGATTTTGACTTGAAACGGGTACAGGAGGAATCTCGACCTTCAGGGCTATTCAGAACAATTTTCAGATTTTCAAAATTCGAAGTTTTCATTTTGCAGGAATTCGACATTTAGGGTCTCGAATTCCTAAACTTGACATTTTTGAAATTTCGAGTTTTGAAATTTCGAGTTTTGAAATTTCGAGTTTTGAAATTTCGAGTTTTGAAACTTCGAGTTTGAAACTTCGAGTTTTGAAATTTCGAGTTTTGAAATTTCGAGTTTTGAAACTTCGAGATTTGAAATTTCGAGTTTTGAAATTTCGAGTTTTGGAAGTCCGAGTTTTGGAATTTTGAGTTTTGGGAACTCGATGTTTAGGATTTTGATATTCTGAAAGATTTCGAGATTTTTGAAATTCTCGATGTTTTGAATATTTCAAAGTTTGCAGTTTCTTAAAATTCAGAATTGTTCGAAACTTGACATTCTTCGCAGTTCATCGAAGATTTACATTATAGGATATTTGAATGAATCTCTGGTTATCAAAGTTTTTAGAAGTTTTCGATGTTCTGATGTTTTTCAAACAACAAGTTTTCGATATTATGAGGTTTTCGAAACTCCAAAGTTTTCGATGTTCCAAACAACTTGAAATTATGAAGATTTCGAAGTCTCGGGGTCTGTTTTGCAGGTGGATTTCGCCATTATTCTTCGAGGCAAACTCGAGATTTAAACCTCGAGATTGTAATTTCGAGGTTTTGCCTTAGAATTTTCCTTAATCCCACATGTTCTCGATATTCAACATCGAGAATCTCAACTTCGAAGAAATTCCTCAAAAACTCAATCTCGACACCGACAAAGGTGGGAATCTCTCAAAAAACTCCTTCGAAGCGCTTTACACCGACAAAGCAAGGAATCTCTCAAAGGATGTAACATTTTAGGGGGGGGGGGTTCAATGTTATCCTCCCTGGTGCCTAACAATGACAAAGCATACCGAGTGCTCCAGTTGAGGGGGAGTACTGAGAGAAAATCAAGAAAGTAATGAGACAACATGTCCCTATGGCTTAGTAAACCCAACTAAGCCTACCCAAGGGACAAAGCCGAGCGTAAGTGAGTGAGTGAGCGAGTGAGTGAGTGAACATTATGAGCATTAGGAAGCAAAAGGCTCAAATGAGCAAGGAAACAATAATCAATGATAAGTCTGCTACCTTAACTGTCTACTATCAATTGAACATTTATTTCTAGCCACTCAAATACTCTGCACAATCCCCATTGGTTCAGGACTGATTCAATCAGATCCCGGGTAGAACTCACTGCATCTTGTCCAATAATGCATGCTTAACCCTACCCAAGACCACTCACTTGTCTCCCAACAGACAGATGTTAATCATATTTCACGGGGAACCGTGTCTCTCATTACTGTCTCATTCTGAGACAAGTGATACTGACTACAGTGGCCTCAGCCCCATGCCACTGAACTTTCATTGATCACGTCGTGTCTAGTAACATCACTCCCAAATGTTTTGAAGTTTCTAGGACACAGACGCACTTTTAGAGTCAGTTACAGGTCTTCATGACCCACGAGAACTTCCATATGGCTCATCTATTACAGATGTAGACCAATTATTAGAAGGAAGTCCTGTTGTTGCAACATAAGAATCATCAACATTTTCAAGCCATTGCTTTAGAGTTTATCTCTATAGTGATGATAACGAGTGTCTATATGATCTCGTGGGGGCTACTAGTTCTTAATGCTAATCTTTATGATTTTGCCATAACAACCAGAGTGACATCTATTCGGATGCTTCACAATGACTGGTTGGAAGTCCTGTTAAAGCTGTAATGCTTGTATCATTTTATACAGGCCACACATCAGTGTTTACATTGATGATTGTGATAACGGAACACCATGGTGTCTCCGGTGTTTACTTTTCTGTTTGTTTTTTATGTTTCTTTTGAGTTCGAACAAAAGAATAAAGGCATGACGCCCCGAGTCATCGGATCGTTATGAGGGGGAGAGTGGTCCACATGCTGTTAACTGTCAACAAATCATTCTGGGACACTTCTCTCCTCCAACACTCTCTCTACTATCTCCGCAACTCAAATGGTCAGCTACGCTTACAAGTCAACCGTCATTATGTTCTGATGTGCCACCGACAAGTTCTCCTCAAATGCATTCATTCCAAATAGTCAAAAAGACTACATTGTGGAGGAGACAAAAGTCAAATACTCGTGTACTGAAGATGAATCACGTGCGCCCCTGATAATCATCAGAACATTCATTCTAGAGACGTCACCGAACTTCATCCAAGCTGATCAAGAGCAACTTCTGGAAGGCAAGGATTACAAGAAAAAGATTCCTCAAACCCCGACATCAAAGATCAAACTGCCAAGAAAACATCAAAGAGGAGATTTCGAGGATTTCTTCATAAAGCTTTCTCAAGAAGTCAAGTTCAAAGACAAAGGAAGCTCAATAACAAGGAAGACAAAGATATTCGTGCTGCAATGCTGATTCAACACGATTGAACACCAAGGGGGAGATTGTTGAGAATATATTATGGTGTCAAATCTAGTTAAATATCTTTGTATTTGTGTAGTTATTAATTAAATGTGTAATATGGGCCACAAATGTATATCAGCCCGTTAGCTTCTTTGTAACCTATAAGTTAGCCATCCTCTCCTATAAAAGGAGGCTAACTTACGGGAAACCGAACGATTGAGGATTTAGAGAATAGAGGCGCAGAGATAGAGAGATTAGGGTTTGCCGCTGCTCTCCTTCTCGAGGGAGAGCAACGGCCATTATCACGGTATACCAGATTCGTTGAATATCCCATATCTTTCTATCTGCTTCTTCTTATTTACCTGCTATGATTGTGTGATTGTTAGTATAGTGGGTTTAACATTTTCCTACGACGTCTAGTGTTTACATATGGACAGTTGTTAGTTGCAGTTTAATGGTGACAATTCCGTCGGGCTTGAAGTTCGTAATATGCGACGATGAAGAAAATTAGAAAAAAACTACAAAAGTGTTGTCTAAAAGGAAATCTTTAATAATTTATAAACTGAGTGCTTAATTATTAAAATTCTAATATTTTTTATTATTGGTTTATTAATTAATACTCCTATTAAAATTCTTATTTATTGGTTATTAATATTTGATAAATATTACTATGTATGATCTAATTACGTTTATAGGTTAACATTTAGAATATTTTCATTTTACATCCCGTCAACATACGGGTGGAATACTAGTAAGGAATGGAAAAGTCAAACAATAAAATGTAAGAAGACGATTTGCAGCAACATAGGAAATTCAATGCTCCGTATAATTTAGGAAGAGGCGAGGCTTCCACCGAACACAGATTAAGAAGAAAGGAGGAAGAAGAAACCGAAGAGGAGAAGGAATCTCATCGGCGACCATGCCAGATACCACCAGTGGCAGTCGGCAGATCAACAGTGAATGCAGCGGCGGTGACCTGTGATCGATGAGAAAGAGATGAATCCGGGTCGCCAATGGTCTGAACATCATTGCTGGCGGGGAGAACGAATGGATGAGTGGGTTTAATTTGGCAGCGACATACATAACGTGCCAACAAATGCAGACAAGGGCAATCTCTAAAGGGGTTTTTGTCCATCCATTTAAAATTTAGTCCTATTTAGGGGTTAAAAAGTTCCAAGTCCTATTTGTTTTGGTCCTATTTAGGTCTATTTCTCAAACAAGAGAAAATTTCTTAAACAGGATAAAAACAATGATAAATTTTGTAAATATGACTAACATTTTTTTATTAGAAATTACCCCAAATAGGAGTAAAACTAGGGTAAAAATAAAAAATAAGACTTCTTATGCTTTTATTCCAAAATAGGACCATATTACTCATATTTGAAAACATACGTATTTTTTCATTCCAATTATTATCCCTTCTTTAAATAGGAGTAAAAGATAGTCAAGAATCATAACTAAATGTTTTACTTCATAATAAAATCGTAAAAAATAATAAAAATCGTTGAAAAATAATAAAAAATTAATAAATATTTATAAAATATTTTTTTTTTATAAAAAATAAAATTTTAAAATTAAAAAAATAGTTAAAATCCATAAAAAAATAAAAAAATAAAATAGATGTCTTTCCCACCGCTTGTACTGCCTCCAAAAAATGACATATTAGTCTTTGATAATGTCAAAATTTTCATTGAATCTATCATTAATATGACTGATGGATAATTGATACCCATATCGTATGAAAAGGAGAGATTGAACAGGAAAGAAGGAGAAGAAGTAGTATTGTATATGAATATTGATTGTATATTTTTGTTGTGTAGCCTCCTAAAGGAGTGTATATAGGGAAAATCCTGGTTTGGGCCTCTAATATGGGCCTGACAGACCCGGTTACATAAATGGACTGATAGTACAAAAAACTAATCTAGAACATCTGAATAATAATAATAATAATAATAATAATGTACAATAATATGAATGATATCCGCTAAACGTGTGTGGGCCGCTGTCCAGGCCCAGTAGTCGGCAGACCGGGGGGTCGGAGTCCATATATTCCATCAGGAGTCCCCCACTCCCTGAGTCGAGAGTACTCGAGGCGAAAGGGAGTAGTCCAAACTGTATCTGCAATGTTCTTCTGTCTTTGATTCCTTCCTCTCCGGCCGGGGACCACCACCCTTGTCCATGATGGGGAGGTGCCTCGTTAAAAACCTTTAATAGGAAAAAACCCAGTGGGAAAAAATCCTAATAAAGGGAAAAAGAGTACACCTAGCGCCCCCCAACATGAAACAAGGAAGGTAAGCTCCCTCCGACATAATCAGTTTTGTCTAGCTCAGCTCCTCTTCATCTGACTCAGCTTTCGTTCCTGCTCATGTGTGATATTTTCTGCTCATCTAGAAACTCTGACCCCTCTGACCCCTCAGTCCCCCTGTCCCCACTCTTTGAGGCGAGTGGAGACGAGGCGAAAATGAGTAAAGTCATCTTCGTACCTACACATTTAACATGCATATAAATTTTTTTCTTGGGGTTTATGTTTCCGATCGAGAGTTCGTCACTTGAAAAAGTGGAAATGTGAATTGCCAATGTAATGATAAAAAAACTTAGTAGAGTGGATGTGTGAGCCATTCGTACGCAACGGTCGCCATTCTTGGAATGACTAAGACCGGTCTTCATGCCCGACTTGGTCGGGGCTTTGTGCCTGACTTGGTCAGGGCTTTAAATCCTAGTGATGTGTCTCAAGTCACAGTCTACTAGGCATTTGATCATAATTGTGCGATAGTGTGACATTCACCCGACAAAAAGATGATTTATATAAATATAAATAACATGAAAATTAAAAGAGCACTTATCTTTTGATGGGCTGAAATATTTTGGTGGGCTTCACAAAAATGGATAGCATCCAGCAATCCCCTTGGGCTCATTCTAATTTGTGAAAAATCATGTTATTGATTAGTGTTGCCCGACCCATATTAATTTGCAACAATTGACTTCCCAAATAATGCGAGGTTCTCCATTAATTTGGATCCTTCGTATGTGGTTGGCTCTCAACCAAACAAAGAGCATCTTTTGAAGAGGCAGATGAAACAAACCCTCCCCAAAGCAAGCAGTACGTTTGAGAGTGGGGTCTGACCCAATATCCTATTGATTCTGCCATTAGCAATTGACGGCCTTCCTTCTTGTGTTGCCTTTGAAAAAATTTAACCAAAGTGCCGCGTACGGAGATAGCCAGATCTGCCGGTCGCGGGATAACTCGCCGGGAACCACCGTCTGAGAGTGGGGGCTTTTGGATTTGGGCTGCATCGACAAGGACCTGACTATAGTATGTCGTCTCTGTCGCTGAAAATTCAAACTCGTTCGTGGCTGTCTCCCGCTTCTCCATGGCCATTGTTGCCGCTGAAGAATAGGCATGGTCGCGTCGGTCATGGCCATCTCCGGTGGGGCCCTCTCGTTTGTTGCAGCTTGAGCTATATTCGGCCGGACCGTGGCGGGAGGCGAGTAGCGTGAAAGTGGCACTAGTTTCCATTTGACCACTGCCGACGAACAACAACCGGTCGCGCTGCGCCTCAGGCCGGCTGCTTTCGGGACTGATTCGAAGGAAAGGCAGCACCGCCGTTCTCAGCTCAACACCTTCTGCGTGGGGCCTGTGCGGCCAGGGACTTCAGCCAGGGATTGGTGGCGGTGCTGCGACCAGCGACGGCAAAGCACGTCGTAGGCCTGGACGGAGAAGACAGTTCAGGCAGAAAAAAGTCCAGATCTAGAAGTTGCAGATCCTATCTGAAACTACAACAAGTGGCTCGTGGTGGCTGGACGGTGGCGGCTGGCCGGTGGCGACGGTGCTAGCCCAGAAGCGGGGCGACCCACCCTGAGACAGAGGCGCGGTGAGGCTTGGTGGAGGTTGCTTCCGCCAGTTCTGGGAAATCCCAGAACACCTAATTTTTTTTTGGATTTTCAGATTGTTTTTCTTGATTTTGGATGGATCTTTTGGTTGTTTTTGGGAGGTTTTCTCACTTGATTGTGTTCAAACCTCTCAACGAGAGCACCATTTGATGGATAATTGATACCCGTATCGTATGAAAAGGAGAGATTGAACAGGAAAGAAGGAGAAGTAGTATTGTATATGAATATTGATTGTATATTTTTGTTGTGTAGCCTCCTAAAGGAGTATATATAGAGAAAATTCGGGTCTGGGCCTCTAATATGGGCCTGACAGACCTGGTTACATAAATGGACTGATAGTACAAAAAACTAATCTAGAACATCTGAATAATAATAATGTACAATAATATGAATGATATCCGCTAAACATGTGTGGGCCGCTGTCCAGACCCAGTAGTCGGCAGACCGGGGGGTCGGAGTCCATATATTCCATCAATGGCATTACTAATGAATTTGACACTTTTGACCCTGTCACCAGAGGTGGTGGTGCTGGGGTGGCAAAGGCGGTGGTGATTTTTTTTGCATTTTTTTTATTTTTTTTTGTATTTAGTTTTTATTTTATAAATATTTTATTAGTGTTTTTATTATTTTTTATGATTTTTATTATTTTTATGATTTCATTATGAATTAAAACATTTCAATGGTTAGAAGGATATATTTGTTCAAACACACATAATAAGTCCTACTTGTGAGTTAAAAACAATGTAGTCCTATTGTGATTATTGACTACCTTTTACTCCTGTTTAGGTAATTAACCCTTTTTTATTCCTAAAATATAACCCATTTACTCTCATTTTGAATTTTTTAATCAATTTATTCTTTTAATAACACTAAATAGATCTTATTTGGGAAATAAAACTACTTTATCCTACTTTTGTATTTTGATTGAGCAATTTCGAAATAATTGACAAGGCATGGAATGATGGAAGTTGACAAAAAAAACAATGAGGGATCATGCTATGCTAAACACGCCAGACCAACCAGCTGAGGATGCGAGTAATAATGACGGAAGGCGAGTTCAAATGGGAGAGCTCAATCACATTTATATCATGTCCATATCTTAAAAGAAGGATGACAAGTCATCCGCGTCCTCAATCTCGAGCTAATAAGACTTTAATCACGAGCTAATAAATAGCGAGTGAGACTTTGACCAAAATATTTGCAAATGTCATGCATTTTTGCGTAGTAAACTCTAATCTCAGGTGCCAAGATTCGAATTCGGTTGAGACTTACCCCTTATGACACCCCCTATATGTCAGTTGAATTACACCACCAACAATATATTATGTCAAAATGGGAGTGTTATTAGTGTTATGATCCATATCTTTTACTTCCTTCGTCCTGAAAAGGTTGGCCAAATTTCCTCCGATCTACTCTGCACAAATTTCAACCACACATTTTTACTTGTTGAAGGTGAACAAGGAGTATATTATTACTTCGTAATAGAAATGGACAAATACTTTCGAGAGTAAATAAAAAGTTAATTATCTTTTACTAATTTTCAATGCATCAAACTCTCTCATGATATATAAATTAGGCACATCAACTATCTGTAAGTTCAAAAATACGTCAAATTCATCTGTGTAATAATTATTCATTAACAAAAATCTCCTATATGAACAGATTTAATTGCCAAATAAAAGAAAAATAATTGGTATTTTTACTACCTTGGTTCCTTTTTGTTTAGCCATATTTGACTTTAACAAAGAACATTTTCATATTATCAATATTACCGTGTAGATATATAATTACTTAAAGTTTAACATCATTGACTTGAAAAGTAATGTTTGCCTAAATAAGAAGAGATCGAGGACGTACAACTTAGATATATTAACAAATTTACTTGTATATTCAATCATAATATAAAGATAAGCGATATTCAAATTATTAAATATTTTCCTGAAAGGGTTTTGCAGATGCAGATAAACTATATACCATGAGCTTTATACCATGAGAGGTTTGATGCGTCAAACCCGTTTTTTATTCTACAACTTTTTAGCAAAATTTTATTTCTATTTCGGCATCTCTCTACATCATTGCATTAATGATTTTCTATTTTCAAACTAATCATGATATTTGAATATCTTACCCAATATAATAAATAAATTAAATATATTCCGTATGATATAATCTCTTCTACAATGACTTTTACTTACTTTTGATATTTAATCTTGGTCGTTCTTTATTAATTTGAAAACTAATCTGAAAGAAAGATGCTTGAAAGGGGGAAATGGTCGGAGATCTAGTACATATTCATATATTCATTTAAAAACCATAGTCATCCAATAGAGTATATATATATATACATATAAAACGTTAAAACATTGAAATTTCAAAGGATTTATTATTTTAGACTAGTAAATTATTGGAAAAGTTTTCAAAATTGGAGTAAAAACTTAGATGTCAATATAATCTTATTTTGAGCTGAAATTTAATCAACTCAGATAATATAATTAAGTTATAGACTTATAGCTGGTCTTATTTTTTGGAAGAAGAGCTAAACAATACTCGATGAAAATCAATTAACAGATTTGAAATGTTAATAATATTAGCATTTTGTTTTAACCCATCAATTTACAATAGGGAAAACTGTCAAATAGGTCCTCGAACTTTCATAAAAAGGTCAATTAAGTCCTTCTATAGGAGGTTCTGTCCGGCCGTCGTGATTTGGGGCAGTTCCCGGTAGAATTTTTTGATGGCATTTTTTGAGCATCTTATTCACCAAGTCTAGTTTACTCATATCAAATTTCAGCTAAAAATTCAATCGGGAACATATTCAAATTAATTCTTGAAGATAACTGCGCATTTTTGCGTTCTCGAATTAACTTGAATGCGCTCCCGATTAAATTTTTAGCTGAAATTTGGTATGCGTAAACTAGACTTGATGAATAAGATGCTCAAAAAATTTCATCAAAAAATTCCACCAATAACCACCCCAAATCGCGACGACCGGACATAATCTCCTATAGAATGACTTAATTGACTTTTTTATGAAAGTTTGAAGACCTATTTGACAGTTTTCCCTTTACAATAATGTTGTGTCAATTTTATCATTCCGTCTTCCAAAGGTGAGTTTATTTCTATTAAAAGTGATTTTATAGTAATATTTTACATTAGCATTTTGTATTCTATTAAAAGTGCTTTTATTCCTTGACTCCTTGTTCACCTTCAACAACTTTTATTCACGGTTGCGGCTGTATTCTATATTTGGCAAGATAACTTTTAATTATACAAGTAGTTCATTCTACCAAATATACCCTTACTACTTTATAACCAGAACCAGCTCCTATTCATGATCATTTATATAGAAAATTTGAAGGCATATCCACATTAAAAAATGAGAGGTGCTTGATCACTTTTTTTGTGCAGACATATATGTGCACATAAACAATTTCTATATTATTTAGAGTTTTTTCCCCGGAATAATGCTAATTAAATAAATTATACCTGAAATACTGCGGAGTTAAGAATAATTCCCAAAATACTACTGAAATTAACCACGGTTAAGGAAAGCCGTCACTCCAAGTGGCGACTCTTGTATTACTTCACAAAATCCGCCACTCCGAGTGGCGGATCTTCTATTATTGTTCAAACGCCATCACTTCAAGTGGCGGTTCTTCTATTACGTCCCATTTTGTACATATATAAAACGCAGTATGTTTCAAGAATTTGTTTAACCGCCTTCCTGATTGCGTTTGAGCTGAAATTTGGTATGCATAAACTAGACTTGATGAAGAACATGCTCAAAAAATTTCATCAAAAAATTCCTCCCGAAACACCCTCTGATGGTGTTGTCCGCGGGGGGTTCCGGTCAGGACGTCATGACAAAAGGGTGATCCGGCCACCTCAATATGAGGTGGTTCCCGGTGGTATGTTTTGATGAAGTTTTTTGTGTATGTTCTTAATAAAGTCTAGTTCCGTCATTACCAAATTTGAGCAAAACATTCAATCCGAATGGTCGTCAAATGATTTTTGAAAGATAACTACGCCGGATTATACATATAAAACGCAGTTATCTTTAAAAAATCATTTGACTGCTTTCCCGATTGAGATTGGTTCTGAAATTTGATATGGATTAACTAGACTTGATGAATAACATACAAAAAAAAATTAAGCAAAACATCCCACCGGGAATCACCTCAAGTTGAGGTGGTCGGACCACCCTTTTGACATGACGTCCTGACCGGAACCCCCCGCGGACAACACCATCAGAGGGTGTTTCCGGTGGTTTTTTTTGATGACATTTTTTGAGCATATTCCTCATCAAGTCTAGTTTATGCATACCAAATTTCAGCTTAAAATTCAACTGGGAAGGCAGCTAAACAAATTCTTGAAACATACTGCGTTTTATATATGTACAAAATGGGACGTAATAGAAGAGCCGCCACTTGAAGTGGCGGCTTTTGTACTATAAGAGAAGAGCCACCACTCCGAGTGGCGACTTTTGTGAAGTAATACAAGAGCCGCCACTTGGAGTGGCGGCTTTCCTTAACCGTGGGTAATTCCAGCAGTATTTTGGAAATTATTCTTAATCCGGCAGTATTTCGGGAATAATTTTCTTAATTAGCATTATTCCCGAAAAAAACTCTATTTTTTAATATGAATTGAAGATATTAGAAAAATGTGTACATAGACAGGTTTTTCCTTATAGAATTTTTTCTTATTTATATTTTGATCGGTCACATTAAGATTGTCTCATACTAATTTATCAATTAACAATATAAACACATTTTTTAATAACATTCTTACATGTATTCACCTCTCATATTCATCCTTATACCCACCTCTATTCTGTGAGAGACTACTTTTTTCTATGAATTTTCATTAATAAAAACATGTTTATTTTATCAGTGAACCAGATTTACGAACAAAATATAGTCTCGGATGAGTATAAGAGTAGATTAAGGGGCGGATAAAAACAGCTTTTTTCTCTTTTAATAAGCCTACCACGTTTTCAATAATCTCCTTGATAAGCTCCGAAACACATGTTACACGAAGAAAAGGCCAAAGTATCCAATCGTTTTGCGAAGAAACTTAGCCGTACGCTCGGTCCACATTCTGCCCCCCATTCCGATACTCCATCGACTGTGAATAGCACAAACCAATTCCGGCGTCCATTAAAGATTCGATTTTTCCCATCATAGATAGCAAAGTACTGGAATAGGATTCAACTTTACTTATACCAGGTGGGAGGCGTGAGCTCAAGAGCTGAGCTTTGATGGGGAAGGCTCCCAGATTTCCGGGTATTAGCGAAGAAGTGCAGAAGCTTCTGGATGCGGATATGGACTTCGTAGATGCCAGGCGTCGAGCGCGCGAGGCTTTCAAGGCCACCCAGCTCTCAATAGACCATTTCTTGTTCAAGGTATATATATGTTCGATTAATGTTTCTATATCAATTTCAGTATTGCCGCGTCTATTGATTTGAAACCTGGATTTCCGTTTGTTTTCCACTAGAGTTTGAAACGCCCAATATCAATCAATCTACACCTTTATTGATTTATTATTTGGTATTGGTGGAGGTTCATAAATTAGTCAACACGTGCGGGTACAACTTGTCTTCATACTTTTTTCGTAGTGGCTAATACATTCAATTTATTCATGGGATCTAGTTTGGTTTAGTCCAAATAAAACCATCCTTATTTATGGTTGCAACCCATTTTTATTTTTTCATACTTAAAGAAATTTTTATCAACTTTAAAATCTTGCGCTACTCTTCTATCAAGCTTGAACGATGGAATCCAAATTTTAATATATTAGTTGTACACTTAATAGCTAAAAAAGTATAAAGCAAGATACAAAACCATGGGTCAGTAAGAACACTCAACTCTTCATATAGAGTTTGCTTAAATTGGGAAGGACCAAATGCTCAATGTAGTACTCCCTCAATCCCAATTAAAGTCCCAATTTAATGTTGCCTAACCATTATTTTTGTAGTCATCTTAACCCTTTTTAATACTACCCCGTCCCAAAAAACTTTGCCATTTCATAAAATTTGAACCATGATTTTGATTAGTGTAATATTATGGAAGTTATAAATTTTATACTTTATGAAAGTACTTTTAACAAAAAAAAATTCATATAATTTTTATATTATAAGTAATTTCCAATAAAAATATATAGTTGGTCAAAATTTTGAAAATGACAAAGTTTTTTGGGATGGAGGTAGTATATGATTTTATATTTTAAATTTTATCACATTCAAATTTGTTTTTTTCGATTCAGTAGAACTTGTAGTGTATTCTCTGAGTGTGTAGATTCTAATTATTAATTCTAACACACACATACATATATATACTCTGTATGTATGATGATGGAATAGTTGACTTTATCATTAGTCAACTTTAACCGAATCGAGTACTTTGGAGTAGGATGGGTGGGGTGTAAATATGATGTATTTATCTTAAGATTGGATCATGTTGAAATAGGCCAGCAAGCATTTGTCAACCTCCTTTAAAAATAGGATTTGTATGTTAAGACTTAAAGAGTATATGAAGTTATGAACTTCTCACCATGTATGGTTGAGGCTCATACTTGTATACTTTTATTGGCTTCTTGAGTTCATTTAACTGTGAAAATTTACCCAGCTATGAACTTATGAAGTTGGCTGATCTTTTCTAACTGCCAAGTCTGCCAATAACACTGCATATCCATTTATTCATATTTTTAATTTGGTTTATGCTGTGGTTATTGCAGGTGCCACGCTCTGATTTAAAAATAGAGGAGGTAATGGATATTATATCATGATACATTTGCTGTCACCTTGAAATATGGTGGTTAAGAGATCATATATTAAGCGTTATAGTGAATCTCAAAAGTGAGCATTGTGTTTTTTTGGCAGTCCTGTAAGGAAAACTCCAGAGGGATACAGATTTTTTCCAAAAGCTGGATTCCGGCGACAAGTCCACCCAAAGCTCTGATCTGTATATGTCATGGTTATGGAGATACTTGTACATTTTTTGTTGAAGGCAAGTGGTTCGTTAAAGCATTACAAGTGTCCATGTTAAATAATTTTGGAGGTAATTCAATGTGAAAGGTTGCCATTCTTTATAGGTATTGCTGCAAAGCTAGCATGTTCTGGTTATGGGGTATTTGCCATGGATTACCCCGGATTCGGTCTATCTGAAGGTCTGCATGGCTACGTACATAGTTTTGACCAGCTTGTTGATGATGTCGTTGAGAATTTCTCAAAAGTTAAAGGTAAAATCAAGTATTTTTTGTTTTTTTGTACATCATATTCTTAAGTGTACTTTAGAGGTGTCAAGCACTCTCACATACTAAAAATATAAAATTTCATACCAACTTATAAACCTTGAACTACTCCTCTTATTAAAGTGAAATTTTAAAAGAGGTGAACTAGAAGCTAACTGTTTGTTGCAGAAAATCAAAAGTGGTGCAGTCTGCCAAGCTTCCTCTTTGGACAATCTATGGGGGGAGCAGTTGCTTTGAAGGTGCACCTGAAGCAACCTCATGCATGGAGTGGTGCGGTTCTTGTTGCACCTATGTGCAAGGTAAATTAGATTATGATTCTCTACCATGATCATTGCCATTAAAAGCTCTGTCTAGATGTCATGTTTTGCCTCATCGTAAACAAATTAAAAATACAAAATAACATATACAGTTCACAGTATAAGCAAGTATATAAAATACAGAAACGAACATATAAAACTACTCCCTCCGTCCCTGAAAGATCTTTCATTTAGCCTTTCGAGGGTCAACTTAAATCACTCTTAATCGTTTACTTTATATATCAAAATTTTATGAAAAGTGAATTATTTTTTAGGGACGGAGGTAGTAATACATAAAATTATTGTGTACGAGAGCATGTTTACTTCTAATTCATTATACGCATTCAGAGTGTATCATAACTTTTTAAAATCCTAAAACTGACAATGATACTCAACACGCCCTAAGTATAATACTTTGAACTACTCCTCTTATCGGTCGCCTTTAAAAAATGCTTTGGATGTGTTAGAGTCTCACATCTGAATATTAAAGAAAGAAATATCAGCTTAAACTACATTGAGTAGTCCTACCTAATTGATTGAGTATTTGAGTTAAGTCCTTAGCGCTGCTTAATCTAAATGCATTATGACCCAATTGAATGACCTCAAACCAATCTTAAGTTATATCAAGATGGAATCTCAAGTATTCTTAATGTCTTTTCGTATCAGTGTTCCACTTCAGAAAAGTGGTCTATTTCTAGAAGTTATATGTGCATTGCATATGACTTGATACTTCTAATAGATTGCAGATGATATGACTCCACCATGGCTATTGGCAAAAATACTTATAGGGATGGCAAATTTTCTTCCAAAATTGAAGCTAGTCCCTCAAACAGACTTAGCTGAGGCAGCATTCAGAGACAAGAAGAAGAAAGAACAGGTGCATATTATCTCCTTTCTATGTAATAGAATTTGAAATTCTATCATAAAAGGTTAGCGTTCAGCCGTTCACATGATATATTTGGCCATGTGATGATTTTACGGGTCCCAATATTGAACTGACCAAGTCTGTGTCCTCATTTTGAATCTTAGTTGGATAAATTGCTTATTTGAACTTAGTTGATTTGGCTACAATATTAAGGCCTTTTTTTCCCGTTTCTAAAGATCAATCTTATATGAGAAATAGGCTAATGTCTTTAAAAGGTCGATGTGAGTCTTTAAAAGGTCGATGTGAGATAACTTAACACTAGAAAACCATGTGTAATATATATGGATGCTGTATATGTTTTCTTTAAAATGTTTTTAATTTATTTGCAGGCAGCTTACAATGTCATTGCTTACAAACATAAACCACGTTTGAGGACTGCTGTGGAACTATTGAGGACCACTCAAGAGATTGAGAAATTACTAGAATCGGTATATTAACAGTTTCAACAATCCTACTGTATCCATTTTACCCCAGTAGTCTCACAAGTTTAACATGTTTTGTGTATGAGATTGGAGTAAAAGTGATTGTTCTCACGATAAATGTTGTTCTCATTTCAACTGCACTCCATACAAATCATATCTGACGTGTCACACAAGATTCCATAAAACACACTCCAGTTTTGCCAAAATATAATTTAGTGGTCTTGATTTTGTCGCTTATTAGCATCACCTTTTAATATTAACAGTACGCATGAGGCATCAAAACTCTTGCAGTTGCTGCAAGTATTTTTATGTTTAGGATTGCTTCAATCTCAGTTTGTTTGCAGTACAACATTTTAATCATTCTCTTTCTATTAACCACTTCAAAATTTTCGATCTTCAAGAGTAATATTTTTTAAAAATATCATCTTTTTGTCAAACACCCTCTGATAAAATGTACTCACATCCATACTTTATATGCTCTGGTGTTGCAGGTTTCTCTACCCTTACTCATTCTGCATGGGAAGAATGATAAAGTGACTGATCCATCAGTGAGCCAAGCCTTGTATGAGAAGGCCAACAGCAAAGACAAGAAGTTAAACCTGTATGATGAGGCTTGGCATTCCCTTCTGGAGGGTGAGCCAGATGAGATGATTCACAGAGTATTTGGTGACATTATTTCTTGGCTCGATCAACATACATAATTATATATATATACACACACGTAATTATAGTCCATCATTTGCAATGGAGCCAAAGACTCACTATTTTTTGGCTTGGAAATATGATAGAATAAAACAAAATGGCTCATTCAATAGTCTGCGCTTCTTTGTTATGAAGCAGTAGTCAATCCATGAAATTTTCTATGCGAATTTCATTATGAGTCATCTGGAAACGGTCTCTTTGTGCTTTAGTACAAAGGTAAGACTGCGTAAACTCGACCCCCTTACCCCACTATAGGTTGGAGCCTTTGCGGCACTGGGGTAATGATGAATGAATGATGAATGATATATACACATGATTATACACACATGCACGGATTAATACACGATGTAATCCCTATTGTGTATGATACCATTACTGGTGTACATATCAATGTATTATGAAAACTTATGCATTTGTTGAAGCATGATGTTTACTTTATTTTAGCATTTAAAATGTAAGCAATTGCGTGTTGCACGTTCCCTATTCTTATATAGAGCCTATTTGGTGATCATGCTTTTCAGCTTATACTTAAAAAAATCGGTTATCTTCTTAGCCGATTTCTCTATTTCTTTTTCTCCATTGATTGTGTTCTTCAATTCTCTCTTTTTTCAAACTATTGTGACGTTTTCCATGCTTTTCTCTTGCTCTATTCAGATTTCGGTTCTTAATTACTCCCTCCGTGCCTCTGTTATTGTCCCATTGCGGTTTACGATGCTTGATCGACGATAAAGCAAACAGATCCTTGTCCGCACTCAAATTATTTTTAGAAAAAGAAAATTACATATTCAGAAACTACATTAAAAGATTTACAAAGTCGCAAAAATCAGAATCAAATTTGATAAAAATTTGATACATAAAGTAAGAGATTAAGAGTGATTTGTGTTGACCAAGTGAATAAGAAATGAGACAATAACAGGGGGAGTAATTCACAATTACAGTTTTCTTAATTCACAATTACAGTTTTCTTAATCTACAACCATTCTTAATTGAATTCATAAGCCTTTTACTCTAGTTCGGTCACTGTTGTATAGTTTTTATTTGGTTCCAATAATCTACATATGAATCCAATTAAGTTCATCTTGTTCCATTAGTTACACACTTACACAAAATATATATACATTTACACATTATGATACCTATTTTACATTACTAAAAATAAGATTTATGTCAACTTTTTAAAAATTCGTTTCATCAATTACTATAATTATGACAACATTTACACTTGTATGTTTCTTCAATCTAGTGATTTATTATTAGTCATTCGTATCACTTGATAAAGGGCTTGTTTGGTTTTTGGCGGTTCAACCTCCAGCCTAGGGGTGGACTCGGGCTGGGTGAACCGAACCGGCCTGAACCGGCATTGTTCCGGTCCGGAACTGGCCCGGTCCACGATTCGTTAACCGGTTTGGGCCAACCGGCCCGGCACTGTAGCGGGGCGATTCACGGGCCTTGATTTTGATGAACCAGCTTGGTTGGTTCGGGCCAATTTTTTTTTTCAAAATTTTTAAAGGGAAATGGGTTGGGCTGGGTGTTTTGGAGGGGTTTAGAGTGTGGGGGAGGGGTGGGGGTAGGAAGTAATTAGAAAAAAAATAGGGTGAATCGGCCCGGCCGGCCCATGAACTGTCGAGTGAACCGGCCTGAACCAGGCCCGAAGCAACCCAGGCCGGTTTCCGGGCTCAACTTTTCCAAACAAAAAAGCACGGTCTGAACCGAACCAAGGTCCGGCCCGAACCGAACTGAGTCCATGCCTACTCTAGCCAGATGTAAATTGCAGTATTTCACATGTAAATTAAATGCATTTTGGTTGAAACGCCACTAGCCAAACATATTTAAAACCATTTACGCTAAACATATAACTTTGTATCAACAATACACACACACTGACACACACACACATGAAAGTTCCTGTCTGGCCTGGCCCGACAAGAGGCTCCTCCGGCCACATCCATTTGAGGTGGTTCCCGATGGTATTTTTTGATGAAATGTTTTGTGTATGTTCCTCATCAAATCTAGTTCATCCATACCAAATTTGAGCAAAAAATTCAACCGGGAAGGTTGCCAAATGTTTTTTGCATGATAACTGCGTTTTATATGTATATTCCGGAGCAGTTATCATGCAAAAATCATTTGACGACCTTCCCGATTGAATTTTTTTCCTGAAATTTGGTATGGATGAACTAAACTTGATGAGAAAAATAAACAAAACATTTCAGCCAAAAATACCACTGAGAACCACCTCAAATTGTGGTGGCCAGATGAGGGTCCTGTTCGGCCTGTTCGGACAGGAAGAACTCTCTCTCTCTCTCTCTCTCTCTCTCTCTCTCTATATATATATATATATATATATATATATATATATATATATATATATATATATATATATACACATACATACACATATATTACATCTATACAAAAGGCATACTCTCCTTCGTCGCTTAAATTTTTATCTTTCTTTTTTTGGTTGTCATAAAACTGTCACTTTTCATTTTAATCAATCAATTTGTGATTCTTATCATTATACTCTCCTCTACACAAATCTTAACCACATAATTTTTTACCTTATTATTCCTCGCGCCGGTTAAACTCGATAAAGTTTTGAAGGATGGAGAGAGTACCAGCTTACATACTTTTGTATCAATGAACAATATTACATTTACATCAAAATATATCACACTTACATATTTTCACACAATGTTCACATAATTGTATAATCATTTATACCAAAATATTATATTTGGATCAACAATATTACATTTACACATTAATTACATATATTCTTAATACATTTACAATATCATTTACAATGCAGTTTATATTAATAGATACACAAGAGTGAATAATCAAGCATTCAAGTCCAGCTGGTTGTGAGGTTACCGTGCCTAGTGGGAGGTCTCGTGTTCGCAACCCACTAGGCATAAAAAGGGTTAGAAACTCAATGGAGTAAGTTTCAAACCTGATTACTCCAGGCCCCCCAGTCCTCCTACCCCAGACCCCCCCCCCCCCCCCCCTAGAGTAAAAAAAGAAAAAAAAAACACAACAGTTATATTTTATGTATCTACACAATTATTATTACATCAAACACAATCGTGGATAGAGAAAATGGGTCGAATATGGATTTTTAAGTTCCGGTCCATTTTGGACCCAACCCATGACATGATGACAATATAATTATAGTTATAATTATACACACACAATATACGTAGAGATATTTAAACACAAAATAAGGAAATTAATCAAATATTGTTTTAATAATTGTAGGATTAGTTAGTGGTTGGTCCACTATAATGAGGTTTTCGCTAATGAGTTACTGTTCTAGGTTCTCTTACTTTACTAATATACATATATTTTATACTTTATACGGTATAATGGAGAACAACATTTTGCTTATTTATATATCATCTCTTCCAATATGAACAAAGATTTTGCTAGGTATTTTATTTGTTTGTATATGTCATTTAGTTTTTTTGCGAGTATACCTGGCCCGGTTCCAAGACTCGATATACCCAAATTTGGAGTATATGTTTAGGACCCAAACGGTAAATAGACCCGGATCTGGACAAAAAATTACTCAATGGATATAGATATGAAATTTATAGTTCCGGCCCGTATCTTACCCATTGACAGGTCTAAACACAACACATATCCTTATCTGCATACAATACTACGGGTGCTGCCTGTGCAGACTTCGGCTATATGGATACTATTTTTTTGACAAAACCAATTAGAAACTACTTGGAGCATCAATTAGATGCCAAGCTCTACAGAGTAAAGATGGTTTTAGTTGGAGTATTTTCAGCCTTCGACCTGATTAGATTAGATCACATTTAAGCAGACCAAAACAACAAGACTAGAGCAGATTTAGATAAATATAAATCAGACTTAAACACACCAGAGGAGGTCAGAGAATTTCAGTCCAATTAAAACATCTGAATAGGTATTTTTTTAAGGTCATAACTCCGGTACCTTTCTAAAAAATGGGGTACCGTACCTATCATTCATTTGATTGGACCACATCACTTTATCATTTTAAATTTATATTTAAATAATTCAACTGCTACATTTTCATTGATCCATGTGGACAAATGTATGATACCTTATGCAGTGGCGGAGCCAGAGGTTTGTCCAAGGAGGGGCAAACCAAAGACTAAAAATTTTAAAGTTCGTGTCCAAAATATAATAAGAACAACAATAGCGTAATAATTTAACAAAAAATTATAGTTCATTACATACTACTTGATTTACTTCTGCAACCTAGGCAAACCAATCCTACGAGTTTTCATATTTTGAAAATGCTGCATAATAGCTTCATTATCAATTGCTTGAAAAATGTCTCTTTCGATGTAGCATACTAAGCAATCCATAAGATAGTCATCTCCCATCTTATTGCGAAGATCTGTCTTGATAATATTCATCGCTGAGAAAGCTCTTTCAACTGTGGCTGTTGCAACTGGTAACACTAGAGCCAACTCAATAAGACGATAGACCAAGTGAAAAGATTTGTGAATTGTAAGCTCAACCATCTTCTTAGACACTTCACCAATACTTTGTAAAGTGGAAAATGCTTCATTTCCTCTCATCTCATATATCCAAACTTGGAGTTGTTCTTTAAGCTCCATTTGCTCAACAGCTGAAAAATCAGATGAATATAACTCCGCAAGACTGAGTAGCTTTGACTCACAGAAATTGGAAAATTTATCTTTAGGATCAAGGCAAGCTAAACAAGCGAGTAAATCTGTATTTGACTCACTAAAGCGATTCTCCATTTCCAGATTGACCTGGTTTGACTTTTCGTTAGGGATGAGAGCAAATAATTAATATGTGCATAAATTGGCAGATGAGAAACTTACTTGAAAATTGCAGAATCTGAGAACAAATGGGGAGAAGTGAGAACTAACTGGAGAAGGAAGGTAGATTTCTGTTGGGGAGTAAAGCCGGAGAGGGAGCGGGCGATGCTGCTTCTCAGTTCTCAGTTCTCACGTTCGCTGCCTGCCTGCGTTCTCAACTGCTCGATTCATTTTTTTTGGCGGAGTGGGAAGGGACTGCCGACTGCCTAGGTCTTTTGTTAATGAAGCTTTGAATTTTTAACCCACTTAATGGCTTTAGACTTTAGTGATTACGTTTTGAATTGTTATTTTTTTCATTTTTGGGCTTAGGCTTTAGGATTGTCTAGGTGGCTTGGGCTTTAGAATTGTTTTTTTTTTCATTTTTCTACTTATGCCCGTTTTTTTTACTTAGCCTTAGACTAGATGCTCATTTGTCTCATTGACTCATTAATCCCCTTTTATTCTATATTTCATTTTTTTTTTACTTTTTCTGAAAATACTTTTTTATTTATTTTAACACTTCATCTTAAAATAACCTTAAGTTGTTCTTATTGTTTTTAAAATTAAAAAAGAAGCCGGGGCAAGAAACATATTATAAGTAATACTAGTAAAAAAAATTAGTCGGAGCGGGGGCGCTTGCCCCCCCTTGCCCCCCCTAGCTCCTCCACTGACCTTATGGGTACCATAGAATCTACCATTTTTTAATCAATATTACTAAAGTAGATTCAAAAGACAAAAATGTTGACATGTTTTGAATTTTTCCAAAAATACGACGTACCATATATATCACTTTTGACCTTATTTAATGTTACATTATTATTGTTAAATTTCATTTTTATAATTAATAATTAATAATTAATCAATGTTTTTTCTAGTCATCACATCGACAGCCACCACCATGACCATTGCCGCCATCTCCACCGCTTCCGCCTTAACTACCGCCGCCGTCAAAGTGACATTGTAAGTTAGTGACTTCATCACCCTACATTATTTAGTGGCTTCGTTCGACACCACTCACGAGACCACCGCTTATAGTGACACATGCCCAAAGTGGCTCCACCAATTAGTGACTCGTCAACACTAACTTCACCAATTAGTCACTGCCCTCTTAAATGATTTCCGTCACCGCTATCTAGGGTTGTATATGAATCGAATCGAGTCGAATAGTGAGATTTTGTATTTGTATTTGTATTTGTTTGATTTTTTCGAATACGAATTCGAATTCAAATATGAAACGAATATTAATTTCGTTTTGTATTTGTTTAACAATACGAATAGTTAATGAATCATATACGAATATCGAATCGATTTGAACATAGGTTAAATATCAATCAAATTATCACTCTAAAATAACTTTTCTTATACTTCGTATTTTTTATGTTGTAAATGCATGCTATGACTTAACATGTATTTTTAGAATATAAATTTAATGGATCAATGCATTTTTAGATGGTGCACAATATATTAAAGTGAATTAATTTTATGATTAATAAATATAAATCTATTTCAAATTTTTTGAAATAAACACTAACACACACATTAGAAATTATACTTATAATTTTTGAAATAAGTTGATAATTGTGTATATCAAATTCAAACAACTCTAATTTTATTATTTAAATCGAATACATAATTATTTGTATTGTATTTGAAAGACATTTGAACAAAAAAATTGATTTGTATTCATATTTATATTCTGATTTATTATAAATGAGCTTGCAATCCGTATGCAAAAGTGTAATTATGGGCTATACTTTGAAGGTACTGCTATCTTTTAAAAGTTATTATAGTGTTATTATTATTATTATAATAATAATTATTATTATTATTGACATAAATATTACCATTATTATTAATCGAATATATTTGATTAATATTCGAACCGAATACACTGATATTCTTATTTGTATTTGATAACAACTCGAATCAAATTTAATATTCTTATTTGTATTTGAATTTTTCGAATTCGAATCTTCTTATACGAATTCGAATCGCTGCCAGCCGGCAGTGACTACACCGACTAGTGACCAACCCGACTAGTGACTGCCGCCCCGACCAGTTACAACCGCCGTTTTCACTCTCCACCTTGGTCAATGTTGTCGATGATGCTCGGACTTGTAATTGCCGCCTTCGCCCCAACCAAAGGTCACTGCTGCCGCTGCTCCAGCCAAAGACCACTGCTTCCCAGTGGTGGAGCCACTATAGATCAAAAGTGTTCTCTTGAACATCTAGATTTTTGAAAAGTATATAAGTATGTATTTGTAAATTAAGGGTAATTAATTATTGTTGTTTAAAGTTCTAATGGTAGAAAAAATTTGAACACCCGAAACCTAAATTGTCAATCCGCCACTGCTGCTTCCGCCACCCCGGCCAAAGATCACGGCTGTTGCCATCCCGCCCAAAGACCACTACCACCGCCACCCCATTACCCCATTTGCATGGTCCACAACTACGGTTGTAAACGAATCAAATAGTTTGTGCTCGATTCGCGATTCGAATTCGTATAAGACAATTCGAATTCGGAAAATTCAAATACAAATAAGAATATTAAATTTGATTCGAGTTGTTATCAAATACAAATATGAATATCAGGGTAGTCGATTCGAATATTAATCAAATAATTTGATTAATAATACTGGTAATATTAATAAAAATAATAATAATAATAATAATAGTAATAACACTATAATAACTTTTAAAACATAGCAATAACCTCAAAGTGTAGCGCGCGCGCACACACACACACACACACACACACACACACACACACACACACACACACACACACACACACACACACACACACACACACACACATATATATATATATATGCATACAGATTCCAAGCCCATTTGCAGTAAATCATAATATAAATACGAATACAAATGAGTTGGTTCAAATGTCTTTCAAATACAATACACATAATTATGTATTCAATTGGAAGAATAAAATTAGAGTCATTTGACTTTGATATATACAATTATCAACTTATTTCACACATTATAAGTATAATTTCTAATATGTGTGTGTTAGTGTTTATTTCAAAACGTTAGAAATATATTTATATTTATTAATCATAAAATTGATTCACTTTAGTATATTGTGCATAATCTAAAAATGCATTGATCCATTAAATTTAAATTCTAAAAACACATATTAAGTCATAACATGCATTTACAACATAAAAAATATAAGAAAAGTTATTTTAAAGTAATATTTGACTAATATTTAACCTATGCTCAAATGGATTCGATATTCGTATATGATTCGTTAACTATTCGTATTGTTAAACAAATACAAATACAAATCGAAATTAATATTTATTTCATATTCGAATTCGAATTCGAATTCGTATTCGAAAAAATTAAACAAATACAAATACAAAATCCCACTATTCGACTCGATTCGATTCATTGACAACCCACACAAAGTGTAGCCCATATACATTTACATATAAAAATTTCAAGCCTGTTTGTAATAAATCAGAAGTATCATAGAGAGTAAGGGTTGTAAATGAAGCTAATATTTTTAATTGATTCATGATTTGGATTAAAAAATTATCATTTAGATTTGAAAATACATAATATAAATACGAATACAAACCAGTCTTTTTGTTCAAATATCTTTGAAATACGAATACAAATAATTATGTATTCAATTCAAAAAATAATCAAATATATTCGCTTATGAAATAATTATGTATTCAATTCAAAAAAATAATCAGAAGTATCATAGAGAGTAAGGATTTAAAGTGTTATTTGACTAATAATTAGCTTATGTTCAAATCAATTCGATATTCGTACATGATTCATTAATTACTTGTATTGTTAAACAAATACAAATCAAAATTAATATTCGTTTCATATTCGAATTCAAACTCGTATTCGAATTCAAACTCATTTTCGGTTCGTTTATGATCCTAACCAGCCGTATATATGCATAAAAGTTTTTTTCCACACCAAAATATCAAACCCGTATGTAATTGCGGTTTAGACTTTAGATGGTGAAGAATTCAATTGCAACAACCATGAAGCTTCCTCCATGTGCAAGCAACAACCATCAAGCTTCCTCCATGTGCAAGCAACAACCATGAAGCTTCATCCATGTGCAAGAATGACAAAGGGAGCTTCCTCGACCACCATTGAAGTTTCCTCATGTTTAATCCCACTTTCCTCCCACCTTCATAGTACCTAGTTTTGGTGCTATAAATAGAGAGCTTGGAGAGTCTTTCTATCATCAAGTAAATTAGATCATAGATCATCATAGCACAACCAAGAAGAGTTGTGAATATCCTTGAGAGATATGTGAAGTGTTTTTGAGAGTTTTTAGTTAGAGCTTGTATGTCTCTTCTTTCTATTCTTGAAAGTAATAAAAGTATTTTTCTCTCATATTAGTATGATCCTGTTATTCCCAACAAGTGGTATCAGAGTCTGATTGAGCTTTTGGTATTTTTTCCCCAGAATTTTCAGATAAAATTCTACTATCTGAAAATTCGTGTTTTTCAGTTTTGCTCGGAATTGCAATCATAATACACCGTTGGATTCGTCTCGTCTAGAGGAGAAAACTGGTATTTTTGGGGATTTGTTTGGCCACCGGACGCGCCGCTCAATCCCCGGCTGGAAGTGCCTGCGTCATCACGCACATTACGCAGGCCAGAGGTCGAAGAAGACTGATGCCATCGCTGACGTCATCAGCCAGTCGGAGTTGTGTCAGCGACACGAGTACAGTTTCCGCCACGTCACCAGTCCACAGACATCTTCCACCAGAGCCCAGTCAGCTGCCATGTTAGCGCCACATCACTGTCACGTCATCTGCCACATCACCGTTCTGTTTATAATTTTGAAAATTTGCAGTTTGGTCCATCAATTTTTGGAAAATTATAATTTCCACCTATAATTTTTCGAAAATTGTATTTTGACCCCGAAAGTGCCTACCCCCCATTTCGGCCGTTCCGGACGCAACGGTGCTACACGTTTTTCGAAATTATGCTCTGATTTTTCTCAAAAAGAAAATCAAAATTATTTAGAAGGTGAAAATGACCTTTGATGAGTCAACTTCATCTTCCGGAGCTATGATTATGCTCACGGCTACCAACTACACGCTATGGAAACCTCAGATGGAAGATTTCCTTAGCTGTAAAGACTTTTTTGATCCAATAGAGATAAAAGGTATTAATCCTGACCTGGCTAAGTCAACGGAGTGGAAGAAAATTAATAGAAAAACTATTGGTCAAATCCGACAATGGATTGATCATAGTGTCTTCCACCATGTTGCACAAGAGACCGACGCTTATGCCCTTTGGAAGAAGTTAGAAGATATGTACCAGGCCAAGACCGCTAGGAACAAGGCCCTACTGATGAGACGCCTTGTCAATATGAAGCTCAAAAGTGGAACTTCTGTTGCCGAACATACTAGTCAATTTGAGAGTCTGGTAAATCAACTATCTTGTGTAGAAATGCTACTTGGAGATGAAATGCAATCTCTACTACTTCTTAGTTCCCTCCTGATAGTTGGGAGACACTAGTTGTTACTCTCAACAACTCAGCCCAGATGACAAACTTACCATGTATGTGGTCAAGGATGCACTGTTCAATGAGGAGGCAAGAAGGAAAGATATGAGCACAGATGAGACTCATTCCCTTGTGACGAAGAATAGAGGAAGATCACAAGGAAAACAACAAAGAAACAGTAGAGGGAAGTGGCAAAGTAGAGGCAAAAGTTGGGGGAGATCATCGGATGGACGAAAACCTTCTTATACCTGCCACCATTGCAGTATAGAGGGTCACATGAAGAAGAATTGCTACAAATTGCTAGAGGAGCGAGGCAAGAGCAATTCTCAAGCGAAGAACAAGGGTGGTGAAGCGCTCATCATAATCTCAGGTGATGTGGTGTATTGTACTATCAATGATGAAACATGCCTCGCGTCTCAAGAGAGGACACTGAATGGGTGGTAGATACTGCAACATCCTACCACGTTACTCCCCACAGGTATTACTTCACAACTTACAAAGCTGGAGATTTTGGAGCAGTGAAGATGGGTAATTCCAGTTCATCTGGAATAACCGGGATTAGTGATGTACAAATAAAGACGAGTATTGGGAGCACAATCACTTTGAAGGATGTCAGACATGTTCCAGACCTTCGACTCAATCTCCTGTCAGTGGTATGTCTTGATGAACAGGGGTATGAAAACCACTTTAGCAGGGGCACATGGAAAATGTCAAAGGGCATTTTGACAATCGCTCGAGGTCATGTTTGTGGCACATTGTACAAATCCCATTTGAGGATTTGTACGGATAGCCTCAACATTGCTGAGGAGGCTTCTCAGGATCTGTGGCATCTGAGACTCGGTCACATCGGTGAGAAAGGGTTGACTACCTTGATGAAGAAGAACCTTATCAACATTGACAAGAATGTTGCACCGGGTCCTTGCAGTCATTGTCTATTTGGTAAGCAACATAGAGTATCATTTAGTTATACTTCAACTAAAAGATCGGAGTTGTTAAGTTTGGTACACTCCGATGTTTGTGGTCCTTTTAAGGTGGAATCACTCAGTGGAAGCAGACATTTTCTGACTTTTATCGATGATGCTTCTCGGAAAGTGTGGGTGTATTTCTTGATAACAAAAGATCAGGTGTTCGAGTGCTTCAAGACATTTCACATCTTGGTGGAACGTGAAATAGGAAAGAAGCTGAAATGTCTCCAATCTGATAATGGAGGTGAGTATACTTCCAAGGTATTCGATGCATATTGTAGAACATATGGCATTCGACATGATAAGTCAGTACCACGCACCCCTCAGCACAACGGCGTTGCTGAAAGAATGAACCGGACTATCATGGAGCGAGCCCGGAGCATGCTGAATATGACTAAACTTCCAAAGTCATTTTGGGGAGAAGTAGTCAACACTGCATGCTATCTTATCAATCGATCACCTTCAGTACCACTCAACTTTGAAGTTCCAGAGAGACTATGGACAGGTAAGGATCCTACATACTCACATCTTAGAGTATTTGGTTGTTCATCATATGCACATGTATCCAAAGAGCTCAGACAGAAGCTTGATGCAAGAACTATGGAAATGAAGAGTTTGGATACATGTTATGGGATCCTAAGGAGAAAAAAAATGTTCAAAAGTAGGGACGTTGTGTTCCACGAAAATTTGACAATAAAAGACATTGAAAAACTCACAATGTCTCGGAAGTCAAATGAGGGTGCTCAAGTTTCAAATGAAGCACCTGAATTGTTCTTGAGAAACAATGACGAAGTGCATGAAAACAACTTTGAAGCAGAAGAGGATGAGGAGACAGAAGAGAGTGCAGAGCAAGGGGAGTCACAACCCACTTCGCCAGGTACAGATGATGGTAGCTCTTCTCAGATGGTTCCAACTGTTCCTAGATCTGAACGAGGCCATATACCATCGAAAAGGTACACATCATCTGAATATCTTTTGTTAACTGAAGATGGAGAACCGGAGAGTTTTCAAGAAGTTGTGTCTCATAAGGATAAAGAAAAATGGCTAATAGCAATGCAGTATGAGTTAGAATCTTTGCAGAAAAATCAAACTTATAAGATCGTAGAACTTCCTAAAAGGAAGAAGGCACTAAGAAACAAATGGGTGTTCAAGTTGAAGAAAGATGCAAGCGGACAAGTGGTGAAACACAAAGCTCGGTTGGTTGTCAAAGGATTCCAGCAGAAGAAAGGAATTGACTTTGATGAGATATTTGCACCAGTTGTCAAGATGACCTCAATCCGAGTTATACTTGTCTTGGCAGCAAATATGAACTTGGAACTTGAACAGATGGATGTGAAGACAACATTTCTTCACGGAGATTTGAAAGAAGAAATCTATATGCAACAGCCAGAAGGTTTTGAGAACTCAAATGATAACTTTGTGTGTAAGTTATCTAAAAGTTTGTATGGCTTGAAGCAGACTCCAAGGCAGTGGAATAAGAAGTTTGACTCATGCATGAAGAGTCAAGGCTTCAAGAAGACTACTACAGATGATTGTGTATACATCTAGAAACTTCCAGATGGTACCTTTATCGCTCTTCTACTATATGTAGACGACATGTTGATCGTTGAGAAAGATGCAGTGAAGATAAACCAGTTGAAGAAAGAACTCTCTAAGTCTTTTGATATGAAAGACTTAGGACCGGCTCAACAGATTCTTGGGATGCAGATCACTCGAGACAGGAAGACTCGCAAGTTATGGCTATCTCAGGAGAAGTACATTGAACGAGTACTTGAGAGATTCAACATGAATGATGCCAAACCAGTTAGTGTTCCACTTGCGAATCACTTCAAGTTGAGCAAAAGAACATGTCCTACATCCAAGGAAGAGATCGGTGAGATGTCAGCAGTTCCATATTCTTCAGCAGTTGGGAGTTTGATGTATGCCATGGTATGCACAAGGTCAGACATCGCACAAGCAGTGAGTACAGTGAGTCGTTTTCTCTCTAACCCCGGGAAGGAGCACTGAGAGGCAGTCAAATGAATTCTCAGGTACTTGAAAGGTACCACGAAGTTATGTCTTTGCTACGGAGGAGCTGATCCAGTCTTGGAAGGCTACGCAGATGCTGATATGGCTGAAGATATTGATAGTAGAAAGTCTACTTCAGGATATATCTACACTTTTGTGGGGGGAGCTGTTTCTTGGCAATCAAGATTGCAGAAGTGTGTTGCTTGATCTACAACAGAAGCAGAATACATTGTTGCGCCGAAGCAGGTAAGGAAATGTTGTGGCTAAAGCGCTTTCTCCAAGAACTTGGGATCCAACAGAAAGAGTACAATGTACATTGTGACACTCAAAGTGCTCTAGACTTGAGCAAGAACTCTATGTACCATTCTCGTACAAAGCATATTGATATTCGGTATCATTGGATACGGGAGACGATTGATCAACAACTGTTGAGACTAGTGAAGATCAATACAAAGGAGAATCCATCATACATGCTGACAAAGGTGGTGACACGAGATAAGCTAGAGCTGTGCAGAGACATAGTCGAGATGCTTGTTTTGAATATGCCTGGAAGGGGAGAATTGAAGAATTCAATTTCGAGGACATATCCAAGTACAAGCAAATTGAAGAATTCAATTGCAACAACCATGAAGCTTCCTTCATGTGCAAGCAACAACCATGAAGTTTCATTCATGTGCAAGAATGACAAATGGAGCTTCCTCAATCACCATTGAAGTTTCCTAACGTTTAAACCCACCTTCCTCTCACCTTCATAGTACCTAATTTTTGTGATATAAATAGAGAGCTTGGATAGTCTTTCTATCATCAAGTAAATTAGATCATCATAGCACAACCAAGAAAAGTTTTGAATATCCTTGATAGATATGTGAGGTGTTTTTAGTTAGAGCTTGTATATCTGTTGTTTATTCTAATAAAAGTGTTTTTTTCTCAAAGGATGTTGCCATTTTAAGTTTCTATTATCAGTATGATGCATCAAGGTCATGAAAGCTCTCCACCCAAACTTCCCCAGAGGAGAAAGCTTTATACTCCGTACTTGCTACTTACCACAATCCTCTCTGTATGTGTGATTTGGAATTTAGCTCCTCTAGGAGAGAGAGAGTGGGGTAGGGAAAGAATAAAAGGTGCGGTTGGTGCTTTGCAACGGAGAGGAGTATGAGTCGTGTATTTGTATGTATAGAGGAGCTAGCTGTGCTGATGTGCGCACTCGGTAGAAGCTTCAGAAGCCGACATCCATTCTTTTCTATTTTTTGCAGGTCGATTTCTTGATCTTAAGGGTTTTTGCCCTCTCAAACAGCTCTTCATGGCCGCCTCTTCTTGCTTTGCCTCCCCCCTAATCCCCGTTTCTTCCCAGGTGCGTCTCATATTTGATGTTCTTGATTTCATTTGGTGTCTGGGAAATCGTGATTATTCTGATTCTATGCTTCTTGTGTATACCGAATTCCTCAGCTCGGTTTATCAGAAAATTGTGTGCCTTTTGTCTGATTGGGTTGGTATCTGGTTAGGTTTGTTTTCCTTTAAGGCTCTGTTTGGTAGCGATTATAAGCAGAAAAATCAATACATGCTGATGACTCGTTTTTTTGTAGCTAAAATAGGTATTACAATCCGTTTTCCTTTCACAAAATTTAGATGATTCACCCATTCCAGCCAAGTAGCTCTTACCAACAGGGTCTAAGAATTTTAAGGGATTATAGTGTTAAGTCATCCCACATGGACAAAATTTAAAAATACAGAATGATGTTTAAGTCTTTTGGCTACTCTTTCTATCGGGTCGACGTTTCAAAGTAGAAATAAATAAGTTTATATTTGTTCTTCAGGGTTATAAAATTTTACATAGTCCCCACTCCTGATTTTTGGTAGGTGGAGGGGTCTGGATGGGAGGCACAGTTCATATTTTGGTAATTTGGTTACATATATATATATGCTTTGGGTGATTTGTATCCTTCTCAAAGACAATCAATTATTTAACATGCATGGGCTACCTCTTGTAGCTCAACTACTACCCAAGTTTGGATTCAAGGGGAAATCAGAACTCAGTTATTGTCACTGCTAGAACTGCAATTCGCAAAATTTACTACCAAAAAATAGGGAAGGGCAATCTGTGGAGTGAATGTAGCTTTCTTGGGAAATCAGGGGCCTCAGTTCAACCTATAATTGGGAGAAAGTCCTTGCACAGGAAAAACTTCGGGGTATCTGCATCATGTAATTATCTAAAGTTTTTGCATAGAAGTCTCATCTGTCATTTTGTGCACTTTAGCAATTTTGGTAACATATTAACTTATATTCTTTTTTTCCCAGTCGATTCACTTAATGGAGTCATATAAGTACATAATTTGTAATAATATACTACTACTTTTATTGATATTAATCCAAAGTCTGAACTTACAACTATTTCTAGTGGCTATTGCGATGGTTATTTATATGGAAAGTAATGGACCTAAACTCAGTAAGAATAGGAAATACAAACCTTGAAACTCATAGGATTAGGAGACTATAATACTACCAAACTGTAATACTTGATCCATTATTATTTTTGTTAAAACAGAAGTTAGTGTGTTGTAAAAAGCAACCCCCATAAGATGGACCTGGAATATCTTAATATGATGTTCTTTGAAGCTTAGAGAGGGATTTGATTGAAGCTTACTATTATCTTGCAGTTTTGTCAGCTTCTCAAATTGCTAGCAGTGCGTTTACATGGGGGACTGTAGCCGTCCTTCCATTTTATACATTCATGGTTGCTGCACCGCGGTCCGACTTGGTAAATCTCTCCATATGCATCTCTTATAAATATCTATGATCTATCCAATACTAACGCAATATTTTATATTGCAATTTTTTCTCATTGTTTCAAACCCCTCTCTGCCCATGTTGTGTCATAACGGGATTGGTCATTATTTGTAATGCAGACCAAGAAATTGATGGGAAATGGCACACCATTTGTTGCACTTGGAGTGGTGTATGCCTATCTTCTTTATCTTTCTTGGACACCTGATACATTGCGGTTTATGTTTTCTAGCAAGTATTGGCTGCCAGAGGTTTGTGTGCTCAACTATCAACCATTGCATTGTACTTGTCCTTTCTGGAAAGAGTCTGTTTGGTTTCCAACAGTGCTTTATTCTGCTCATTAAAAGAATAAATAGCTTTTGACATAGTTATTTGGCAAAAACGGATTTTACCAAATTCTTTTTCTTGAAGAAAGGTCATAAAATTAAGCCATGACGGCTTTAAGCACTGGCCTTAAAAGCGGGGAGTATTCAAAATTGGTTTGGAGTTGCTCAAATGGATCATAAGACAATTGTGAAACTATAGTAAAAGATTAGTTCAAGAAACAGTCTTATGAACTCATCATTTTGTCTAATTTTTTGATGTGGGGTTCTAAAAAATAGCATGTGTCTTTATCTTTCTAACGGATCCCCAGTCACTCCACCTAGACGTTAGCCCTCAGTCTACCCATAATTTTACTTTAGGTAAGAGAATGATTAAATTAAATTAACTTGTACATTGACATCACAATATTCCAGCTTCCCGGTATGGCTCAGATGTTTGCGAATGAGATGACTCTGGCCTCCGCATGGATTCATCTGTTGGTGGTGGATCTTTATGCTGCAAAGTACTGTATCTTAATTTCCCCGTCCCATCTATTTTGCTTTTCTCGGGTGGTGTGTGTCAAATAAATGTATCGCGATGAATATTGATAGTTTTTTGAACAAACAGGCAGGTGTATGAAGATGGTATGCAAAACGATGTTGAGATCCGCCATTCGGTGTTGCTATGCTTGCTATTTTGCCCCATTGGAATTCTGGTTCATATCATGACCAAAGCTCTAGTAAATAGCCAGAAAGGAAAACGCACAATTCAATAGGAAATTAGGAATTCCACAATTTGTTTCTACTGCACTGTTGCTTTTATCGCTCCAATGGAATTATTAGAACTGTTAAATCTTTGCGACCGTATTTACACTTTTGGAGTTATGTTAATTGTTCTCATGCCCATTTGGGAGCACCATACCATTTACGACTAGTTTATTATAATTTGGGGGTAGGCAAAACCATTAGGTCAAGTGGTCAACGGTACGAAACTGAAGTAAATTGAATTGGACTTAAACTATATGCAATTTGGTTTGAATTTGGCAGTAGTTATTCTTACATTAGGACCTGAAGTGTTCTTTTAACTCATTCCCAACCAAATTGAAACCCAACTGAATCGAAACCATATGCCGATTATGCCCACTCCTAATTTCATTGCATTAGTGAGATGATCCAACCCCCCAAAGTAGGGACCATAACTGTCCGCTAATGGGAATGTTAACCAGAGTACATGTATTTTGTCAACCAATTTCTTTAAGGAATAACTTACAAATAAGAAAGTAACAACTGATGGGTTGCGCTGTGGGTTTTCAATAACATTATTAATTATGCTAACTAATGTTCTCTTAAACTTGTTTTTTGCTTATTATTTTATTTTAATTACACTACACAAGACAAAAATTAGACCAGTCTAATTGGATGGATGCTATAGTACAGAGTACAGACAAGAACCAGAAAAGAAACATTCATATATACATTCATATAAAAATAACATATATTTCAGGTGAAGAGAATTGGTTCGCAAACATTACGTGATTATACATTAAAAAAACATGACGTGATTATTGCACATGTGTGCTTGATACAGACTAACTTGTTCTCTTGGTCTGAAAATTCTCTGTACGAATCAAAAGAGCAGAGGTATAGAAGTGAAAGTCAATATAAGAGGACGTGTGCAGAATTTAGTAATCACATTAAACCTAAGCATTAAAATATCAAATTAGTATGAATGGTATCCAATGTTAGCTACTTAGCTGTACAAGAAATTCTCAACTCTTAAATTGGGGAAAAATGTAAAGAAGTTTGGTCAAATGACAGCACCCCAGGATATTACACATGTTGCCCCAGAGTTCTATGACTAAGGAACTTTGGTGATGTGATTGGAGAAAATTGACCCATGCGTATAGTTTTCCTGCAACAAATAATTAGTTAATGACACATATTAGTGAGCTCTAATTACCACAGGTTTTCTATTTGAACTCCACTTTTGTTTTTATTTCAACTCCAACTCTTATCAACCAGTACTTTGAGCCATTGTTTGGTTGGAGGACTTAAGTGAGGGGGGGGGGGGGGGGGGGGGGGGGTCTTGTGTGTTTTAATAGTGCTATGGAAGGGTTAGGAGGGTGGAGGAGCTAAGGATCTCTTAACTCTTCATATTTCACTCCCCAAATTAAAGTATGTTGGGGTTTCATTATCATCTATTGAATCAAAACTGTTTTTCATATAGTTTACTGCATTTCTATGTTTTTTATCAAATGTATTATTTTATACCCTTTTTTGTAAGTAATATCAACAGTCTCCATTGAACCAAACATAAGTAAATTTTTTTTTCACAAAAAAAAAAACACAAGTAAATTTTAACTATTCCATTTTCCTCACCTGCTCTACCCATTTATCCTCCCCTTTGAACCAAACAAAAGGGTGACAAACAGAAGTGCAAGTCGTTTAAGAGGAAGAGTGCATTTTTTAAATATACATAGCATACATTAAGTTGGAAGAGGGGACATTTCAACTCGATCATCCAAGAACCCATTTGATAGACTTGAGCTTTGTGAAGAACCCTTCCTTGTAATGTCCAGTGATGTTGCTTCATATATCCCTGGAATTATCATAATAATATAATAATAATTATCATTATTACTCCGTATTATGTATGGACTCAAACACAATGAACTGAATGGGAAGTCCACAAACGAAGACATGTATATATGCTCTTTCTCAATCTACCCATTATTGACACATACACTGTAAATATAAAAAAGTAGGCTAAGAGCCTGTGTGGTAGGCCTCATTTTTGGCATGTTAACCTTATAAGCCTATATTGACTACACTAAATGGCTAACTAACTTCAGAAGGTGGCAGAATCAGCATATTATGATAAAAAGTAGTACATGAGTTATCATTTTTAATGGAAATCGTTGAATTTGTTATACTTCGGTGTTTCTTAGAAGGTTTTTCTGCATTAGAAAAGTTTAGAAGAAAAAGGCTTTATATTCACCAAATCCCAAAATGGTTGCACATATCAGAAAACCAGGCAGGGAGAAGTCCATTTTGTACGCAAATTCCATGACAATGATGCATCCTCCAGCAGCCATTAAATGCCTTGGAGAAGAAAAAACCATTTGCAACCTACAAATAGATTGAAAAGCAAAGATAAATTATGTAAGGCTGCATTTCATTACAAAATTAAATTTGTCAATAATGACATGAATTAATGAAACACATTATATGCAAATGAATTAGCTATTTCTTCACAATCAACTTTCACCCATTGAAACGTCCGAAATCGTGTTTTAAATCAAGTAAGCTATTCATATCCTAGAATAATATATGAATATATCACATTCTCTATTAACCATCAATAAAGACCTTGAGATCGGTATCTTTATTTGACTGTAGTAGTTGAATAATCAACTTTTGGCTACCAAGCTGAGCCTTAAGTTTAGAAGAAAAATGTCTGTAGGAACTAGGAAAGAGATAATTTTGATAAGGTACCTTTCCTCTGCAATACTATCAACGTAGAATATCAATATGATGCCAAACAAAATGGTACTTGTAAAAGTCCATGCAGAAAATGGCAACTCTACACTATTTGATCCCTGAAGAACTCCCAGACAAGGAAAAGATAAAGAACACTCAAATTCATGAAGACACTGATGTAAATGTTACTGAAAGGAAACCATAAGATCATAAAACTAAACTCACTATAATCATGTCCCACATGGCAATTGGAAACAAAAAACATGTTGCAGAAGCAATTGTTATGGCATTGAGTCGTCTTTTCAGCTGATTCTGTGCATATATGGCATAGTAGTATATACAAGTTCATTTAACAAGACGTAAGCGAGGAGAGGAGTTGCTATTTTTTATGAAATGGCTGAAATTGATAGTTTTAGGCTTTTAGCATGATTTTAGATATTAATTTATTTAATTATTTAAGTGTGCGTTTTTTAAAAGGTATGCATTTTAAGCTTTAATACAATTCAGCCACTTCACCATATTAGTCTTATCAAACAGATGCTGCCGGACAAAATTACTTGGTACCTTAAGGGACACCCGCCGAGCAATCACTCTTCTCAATGCTGATAAGATTCCAGCAAAGATGGGGATTATCATTTCCTTCATGCCTACAACTTGTTCCATCTTTGTCTCATTATCATCATTAGTGCTATCACCAAATGGTATCTTTATGTTAAGTTCTTTATATGTATACTCTCTGACATGTGAACACATGTAGAATTTGGACAAATCCTAAATCCTTATCAGTTATCATTTCATTCATGCCTACAACTTGTTCCGTCTTTGTCTCATTATCATCTTTAGCGCTATCACCAAATGGTATCTTTATGTTAAGTTCTATATATATGCATACTCTTTCATGTGAAGGCATATGGAAATTGGACAAATCCTGAATCCTTATCAGTTATGTAAAGGGGCCGCTTGGAACTCGGAAAATAGTAGGGAAATAAAATACGGAGAACATTATAAGGAAATTTGGTTAAAAAGAAAATGGGGTGGGAGATTAAAGATTAGTTCAAACTCAATTAATTTATTTTTAATATCTGTACAAAATTATTTTATTTATTTATTTATTAAATTCTATATTTCTATTATATTAAAATTTACCTATATAAAAATTTAGTTCCCATTTCATTTTCTGAGGTACAAGTAAGCACAAGGGAATTACTTTCTTTCCCATTTTTACTCGTTAGCATCTTCTGAGATCCAAAAGATATCCATTACCCAATATTAGTTTGAGAGACGTCAAAGGATATAAATTGGTGAATATGTTGCCATTGCCCATCCTTGAGATAAAAAATAAAAAGATGCCAACATTGCAACGAGTCCACCCACCTGATGAAGGTGATAGAAAATTTAAGCTAATTAACACATTAGAAATGCAGGTGAAAGTAGTGAAACCCATTCAATTCCATGGTTACCAATATTATGTGACATATGTGAACAGCTAAATACAATTTGTATATGTTACAGTTTGTGTTCCTATAAGATAAGATGATAGCTATTCTACTACCAAAAGAGCCGGCTGAAGTGTTAAATAACTGTCTTCATATCATGGTGCGTCAAAGGTAAACTATATGTGCGAGTGAACGCTAGATACTCAAGTTGTACGAAATATCTAAATAAGCACACCTTTCTCCAGATGTGGCCCTTCCTTCCATATAATAGAGCAGATATTACTCCAAGAACAGCACCAGAATATTCGGCTAATATGGCTCTGCAATGGACAATAACCCAAATTTAAAAGGATTATACTCATAATGCAGGATGACTCTATAAAAGTAATGCAAAAAAATAGTGTTGCCCTTAGTTGTACGGTTGTACCACTGCCCCAGCTACAAATTTATGATTGTCAAGGCAATGTGAAATATGTTAGTATAGGCCAATAACTTATACTCCGTAGTCGATAGTGAATATCCAATGATACTAGTTTAAATGAAGGAAACCAATTACTCCATTGCACTGTTTCAAATCCAGTTGTGAATGATTTTATCAGTGCACCACCATCACATAGAAACCCTAATATCCAAAGTTTGGTTCAGGAGCACATGGAATTTGAGACTAATACTCCCTCCATCCCTAAAATTTGTGTGGTAAAAGACTTCGTTACCCCTATAAAAAGTATGAAGCACAACATTTATTACTCATTTTCCAATCTCCACCATGTCTTTTTGGGGCATATATGCAAAGTCATCTCAATAAACTTATTTTGCCTAAAAACCCGTGAAGGCGTGAAGTCAAATTATGAACTTAATTTGGGGACAGAGGGAGTACTATTATAGATAATGGGAAGTCATTTTTTTTAATTGTTCATAAAGATAACACACAGTTCACTTCTTTAAATACTCTACAATTGATAGATTGACATGCTAAAACAGTATTAGCATGTAATATACGGTCACACTGAGTCCATGATCATAGCTTATATCAGGTATAGAGACCATCACACATGTAACATCTCTCAAGAATTCACATACCGCACAGGACCACAAGATTTAAGGCCTTTCCCCCACATGGTGAAGTATAGTGCTGTAATGGCACCATTTATCACCGAAGGAACTACCTGTGAAGAAAATGACATTGAGAAATAAGCAACTGTGACCATTACCCTTTAAATCGATAATTGGTTGCTAGCATAAGAATAAAAAGAAGAAGAACTAAAAACATAAGGGTTATTTCCACAAAACCTGTGTATTAGCCAGTGGTCTGCCCTTCCATGGCTTTTGCATTATCAAAAATATGATGCAAGACGGAACAAGACAGCTGAAGATAAATAGTACAACAGAAGCTCCAGTCTGAGACAAATAGCGATACATCGAGTAAACTGACCATATTCTCATGAAGTTTCCAATAAAATGGATTATCTGCAAGGGTGTTTGCCTGCATTTTTAACCTCCATATTATCAGTACGAGAATATGAGGCAGCTAAAGATGAACCTAGCCTGGAGGTGCACTTCAATGTAAGCACAATTAACAAAGTTCATCAGCCATCATTGCTATGTTACCAATTTTTTGCCATAATAAATCTAAAACGCTAGATAACCACCATCACTATCAGCGCCGTGATCCCTACTAATTGGGGTAGTGACATTAAACATATAGCCAATTAAGTACATTAAATCGATTAACACATTAGATTCAAGCAAAAAGCATAGTTGCAATGTTTAAAGCATGATCTTTTTAATATTACAACCTTCTTGAGAAGGTATAATGAAATGAAAATCCTAGTAAGTTATCATCATAGATTATGTCTACATGCATAAAAAAATATCATGAAACGGCAGTCAATTAGAATATTTTCTTTTGTCAACTATATTATGTAACTGCTACTGCAAGACCAACCTACATGAATTGCATGATGACTAGCTAGTATCATGTGTGTATTTTTTCAAGAAAATACACTACAGCTCGCATGAAGTCTAAAATTATTGCCGCTTCAGTTTAATCAGTCCTCTCTGAGTGGACACATTTCATATATTCTCAAAACACAATGCATCTCTACTGTGTCAGTTCACTCCCCTTCGATTATTCTTTAGCTTTACTTTACGTAAACTCATCTTTCTCAGAACTTGTGACAGCTAAGTAAGTCAGTCAGCATTTCAAATTTCCATAATAATGAAACGAAGTATTCACGTAGTTCATTAGAAGGTAATAGAAGAACTGAATAGCCAAATGCTGTATGCCTGTATTGTATAGAAAAAACTAACAGTGAAAATGGCAATAACGGATTTCCTTAAGAGTATAATAACTGATGCATACCTAAACGCAGCAGCCTGAGAAGAGCCACCTCGATCTTCGGAAATTGGCTTAGGGGACATCATTTTATGAGTATATAATTCGACTAAAAGGAGCAGTTAGTTGTTGATTTTAATCATCATGGTGAATTTCGATCTGGAAATGGAATTCTGAAATGATGCTTTGTAGAATTTTCATCAGCTTGATGAGGGGAGTTGAGACTTGAGAAACCGGTGTTTGATACCAGTCAAATTCAAATTGGGCTGTTATTGTTGAATCTACTGTTTAGCTACCGGCCCGTTATTCATTTTGAGCAAGGGGCCCATTTAATAATCTCAGTGCATATATTCATGTTTATGCTTTTATTATTGTGGTTCTTTCTACTTTCCATTATCTTCTTTGTTTGAAACTGCAAAGCTAGCAGATCAAAATTTGAACTTTACCTATAACAAAGCAAAATCAGCTAACTCCTCCTTGGCTTCTACTGACAACAATGGCTGCTTCTTCAATCGGGACCTTAATTCTCCTCAACTTTCCCTATAGTAAAATGAAAATGAGAGCCCAAGCTATCCTCACTAACGGCAGCAAAATGAGGGTTCCGTATGAGCTGAAACAAGGGCAGACGCGTCTTTTCCACGAGCTTCCATCTGGTCTGAAAATGGAGGTCATTTTCCAGAAGAAGGGATTTTTTTCTGATCCAGCCAAGGAACTAGAGGAACCTCATAAACCACCCATAGTTTTTGTCCACGGAAGCTTCCATGCAGGTTGGTGTTGGGCTGAACACTGGTTGCCATTCTTTTCTCGACATGGATTCAATTGCTATGCTGTTAGTCTGCTGGGGCAGGTACAGTTCATTCGGATCTCCATTTTTTTCTTCCATCATTCGAAGTATTTGTTGTTTCCCTCAAATTTATACTACGTATTAGTCAGGGTTCATAAGTATGACTATTGATGTTGTGTTTGTGTGTAAAAAATATACACACACATATACACATCAAAATGCATGAAAGATAGAGTTGTCACATTGAATAATACTTCGTATATTATAACTACTCACTTACTCCCTAGTAGCTTTCTTCATATGTGTTGTTACAGTTAAAGATACATATATCTCCTAGAATACTAAAATAAAAAAGCAAAAAAAAATATGCGATGAATCTAGACACCTAGGCAGCCGATAAAGCGCTTTGGGCGGGCAACTAGGCGCCTTAGGCGGCCGACTAATTCACCTAGGTGCCAAATCAATTAGTCGGAGCGCCTAGACTAGAATCAGGGGCCCCGGCCACCGCCTAGCGCCTCAGCGGGACTAGTCGGACCCCTAGAGCGATTTTTAGAACAGGGGTTGAAGTATGAATTTGGTCTCTACATGTCTAACTTTTTTGCTACTTTATAGTATCTATTCTGTCAAATGCTAAATGTGGATGAGTTTCGAACATGTGACCTCTTCCTTTCCTTTGGAATGTCACCTGCCATCGAACCACGTTCTTTATCTGATTTTTTTTACAATTTCCTCATTGAGGAGGTCAAACACCCAGAAGCTAATTACCAAATAATGTCCATAGACTTTTAACAAAAAATCCACATTGATTCCAAAGTCCAAACGCTTTAAGCATCTCATTTAGTGTTAAGGTTGGAATGTTCTGTTAATCACAAATAGAATCACAAGAGGAGAAAAGTCGAGCTCGCTGAACTATACAAACTCTCTACTAGCCAGAGTTTCTATTTTTTCTCCCTTTAATCTTCCTGTGGAAAATGTAAATAGTCAAAACTGATGAACCTTTTGCACTTTTAGCCTCAAGATGTGCACATTACTGTTGAACATTGTGGCAGAAGTCAGGCTCTCAATTCCAATTCTGCCTCCGCATTTTTTTCGTTTATTTTTAACATATTGCCCATTCATTCTCACTTTTTCCTAACAAACAACACTTTTTATTTGATCTGAAATCTACACTCACAAAAAAGATTGGTGAGAAAAGTACAGGATATGTGTTTTCAATCTTAATAGGCATACTCACTTCCACACTTCCATATTCCTCAGAGCTTCGAAAGTCTACAACAACTTCACCTTATTATCCATTTTAAATTGTCAGGGTGAAAGTGATGCACCTGCTGCTCCAGTTGCTGGTTCCCTCCAGGTTGTGGATATTACCATCGAATTAATGCCAATGAGATATATTGGGAGCGATTGATTTCACTGATTGCTTTCCTTTTGCGTTTCCAGTAGACACATGCAAATGATATTGCTGACTTTATACATAAAGAAATCAGGCATCCACCAGTATTGATTGGGCATTCATTCGGAGGGCTTATTGTGCAGTATTATATTGCCAATCTATCAACGGACGACCAAAAGGGTAAGTAGATTCTGGATTTATTGGTTCTCTTTACATGATAAAAAATCCATTCTATTAGTTTCTGTTTATTTTTATAAAATGACGCGTCACTTAGGAAGATGTACTCATGTTGTACCTATGCCATTGCCGAGCTGCATGCGATAATTCCTTAGCTTCAAATGACCGTGCTTACTTAGGGTTTGTTTTTCTAATATTTCCTTATGTGTGTTAATTTTTATTTTATGGTTTGATTTTTTTGTATTTTTTGGTTTTTTTTCAAATTTGTTAGATATAAAACTTATTTGGAAGGTCTATTTTTCATATTTAAAGGATGGTTTTATACACATGCTAAAACTAGTCTATATAAATATCCTATATATGTAACAAAAAGTATCCAACGACATGATGAAAGTGGCTTAAAGGACTTATATATATATATATATACACACACACACACACACACACACACACACACACACGGAGTAGATAATTAAAGTGTATTCTACACACCATGAGACTGACTATATTAAGAAAGACTTTAATTATGTGTAATTCAAATATAAGAAATAAACTCGTTTAAATTTTTTCAATGTTTTTAATATAGAAAATCTTGAACCAATCTTTAATCCCTTATTTACCGTAATTGTTAAAGAATGTTTAAGTTAAAACCTCTTGAAGAGATCTTTATGTATATTCCTTTATAATATATATTTCCGATTTGTCATTTACCTTTAGAAAAACTATGTATTTACTTTATGTTATTTTTCGAATTCTTAATTTGAGAACATTATTACCTAACAAATAAATCATTTAACACCCTGCTACCATTCATGTAGATATGATATCCAGCATTAACCTTATACTCACATTTCGAGTATATTCACGGGTAGCGTTCACCAATTTAATTAAAACTACCATATAACATAGTATATTACAACTCAGGCATGATTCAAGAAAACAAAATCTCATACCCCAGACTTTCCAAGGCCGTGCTTGTTTGCTCTGTGCCACCGTCAGGTAATAGGTACGTCATGCAGCTGAATTAGCATTTTATAGTGGTGTTAAATTATTTATCTCAATGCTTTTCTTTTTAAATTCAGTGGGTTAGTGCGGCGATATCTTTTCTCCAAACCTATTGCCGCTTTTAAGGTTTGTGATCATGCTTCAAAGAACATTTTGGATGTTTTTTACCTGTTTGAGCTATTCAATTTTGAATCAATAGTGATGTATAAAATTTGAATACCAACCTTTTGAGCAGGTAACGATGAGCTTGGCAGCCAAGGCTTTCCAAACGTCTCTACCTCTTTGTAAAGAAACATTTTTTTCAGCTGCAATGGATGATAAGTTGGTTCTTCGGTTAGTGCAAAAAAACTGGCCTTATGGTTGTTAATGTTACACTTTTTACTATGAGGTCAAATAAGTAGTCCGTTTGGTAACATCAACATTTCATGAATACATTGAATCTAGTGAAATTGCTAAAGTTAAAATGGATTAATCCGCTAAATAATGAAATATTATTTTTTATGTATATATTTATTAATACAAAAATTGTATGAAAAAGCTAAACTTGTCCTCTTCTGCATGTTTATCTAATTTTGCGAGGAAATTACTTATTTTGGTTGCTAGGATGTTTTTACTTGGACTGTCTTCAGTCCCATAGCAGACTTAAACATACTAAACCAGACTTGGACAATTATAAAATACATGACTAGAAAATTTTAGTCCAATTAAAAACATCCTTAGACATTTTAGCGCGCGAAATAATAAGTCAATGCTATGTTTTGGTAAGTCTAGGTGATAAGGCTAATAAGCCAAGGAAATGGATTACAACACGTAGACTGGTATTCAATGCTAAAAAAATCCCTCGTGAAAGTATGCCTTGCTGGGATTTGCTAGATTTAATAGCATGGTGTTAACCGTACATTAGTATCGTATTGCTTGCTTTGGGTTAAGCCAAGTGACCAACACAAATTTGTTTTTGGACACCACACTAAGCCTCAGGTAGACACTTATATTTAAGGTGATCTGTGATTCTCTTTGATATTTTCAATGTTGTGCCTGAGTTGCACCTCAATAGGAACCTAATATGGTCCATGCAGGCCCGGGCCAAGAAAAATCCTTTAGGTAAATAGCTAGACAAGGGAGGCCTAGTGCCCAAATGGGGTTTAAGTGTTGATTTTGAGATCGTTGCTAGTAGTTGAGGATATTTTCAATGTTGGACTTGAGTTGCACCTCAATAGGAACCAATATGCTCCAAGTAGGCCCAGACCAAGAAAAATCCTTAGGTAAATAACTAGATAAGGGAGGCCTAGTGCTCAAACAGGGTTAATGCTTTGATTCAATTGCTAGTACTTGTAGGTTAATATGAGTTTCAATTGTTACTGAAAGCATCTTTTTCTTCTAGCTACCAAAAGCTGATGACTGAAAGTTCAAGGCTACCCTTGTTTGATATCAGAAAGCTGAATGCATCACTCCCTGTCCCTCCGGTGGCAGATCCCTCATTGGAAGTTCTAGTGTTGGGCGCAAAGGCTGATTTCATAGTGGTACAGTCTAAACCCTGTTACAGAGCGGAGATAATAAAATGATCGTGACCACATCTAAAATCTGAATCCATTTGATTAACTAATACAAATAAAATGCCTTGAACTCGTGAGTCTCTCTTCAATAGTGAAAAGACTTGTATCATTGTATGTGGTAATAATTACTAATAACAGGCAGAATATATGATTTTGTAGGATTTGGAGGGAGTTGATGAAACTGGAAGGTTTTATGGAGTGTCCCCTGTGCGTATCAAAGGCGTTGCTCATGACATGATGTTAGATTGTCAATGGCAAAGTGGTGCTGAAGAAATTCTAGCATGGGTAAATAAGTAGATAGAAATATCACTGTGATGGAGGGAAAAGTGTCCCAAATTTACCTGTCTACAACTGCTACATATCTTGTTATGTTGCAGAAGTCCAGTAAATTGTTGGGGAACACAGTAATACTGTGTAACATTCTTATGTGCAGTGATGTTTAATAGGAGTAATAAACCTTGAGTCACCATGTTACATTGTCCCACCAATTTGGCTCTTCTGTGGTTATTTTTCTACATCAAAACAACGTGGGGTTTTTTAATTAAAATTCCGTTCTTATGTAACTAGTCTTTTTGAACGTAGGGATGCAAACGTCAATCGAAATTTCATTTTCTTTACTACATTTAACATTCTTGGTGTGTTTCGTTGGAGAACAATAAAATTGAGAGCTGGTTTAATTACATTGAAATTAGCCGGAAACTCATGAAGTTCTGGTAGAAACGGTTGAATATGTTGAATTATGAGAAAATATAAAGAAAAGATGATATGGAAAAACAGCTAAAATGACTTTCTACCGTAACTTCAATCAATTCAGTCTGAAAAGTAATTATAATTTACTTATTTTGATTACTTTACAATTTAACATGTGAAATGAAGAGTTGTGACTGGTGAAAATGAGTGATAATGAGGTTGATAAGTTGAAAAACATGATCACTGAATGGTCCTGAATTCTAGTACAATCGATTACATAATCTAATCAGACTGAATATAAAGTTTTTTTTATAAATAATTTAAATTACAAAACTGTACTCCCTCTGTTCTTTAATACTTGTCTCATATTCCTTTTTAGGATATTTTTTATTATAATTAATTCTACTTTTGGTCCTACGAGTTTTATGTCATTTTCGCCTATAGTTCATGTGTTTCACTTTGTCTACTTTTGGTACTTACTAGTGTTTTTGACCATTTGTTGTTCTTTTCCGGCGATTTTAACCATCAAAACTATTGCTAGAAGGATCATATATGGGAGAAAACAATAGTCATATACCAAAAGTGGTCAAAGTAACAACGTGGACCAATTGTGGAATCAATGTGGTACTCATATGAACAAAAATGGAATTTATTCTTTTTTATTACTTATCTTACTTTCCTCTTTTAATAACTTTTTCTTATCAAAATACTTTTATATTCTCACTTTTATTACCCTTACGTATTTACAAATTACTTTTTCTTTCCTACTTTGTTCTCCATGATATGTTTTTTTTCATACTTTTTCATTTACCTTACACCCTCTATATTATCCTTACTTTTTTCTTCTTAAAAACCATGAAAAACTTAAGAGGATACTTATTACTTTATTAGAGAACGGGGAAAGTATTGGTGAAGAGTCGCTTAGCATATTCTAAACACTATTTTTCTCATGAGATTTAATTATTTCAAATAAAGGAAATTAATTTTGAATAATATTCTGTATCAACTAGGTAATCCAATAATAATATAAAATGTTGAAATAAGTATGTCATGGTACAACTTGGTCATTCGATTTATTAAAAGCTCATAACAAATCATCAATAAAGGTTCTTTGATAGTTATCCTATAAATATACTAATAATGGTTGGAGTTAATATCAAAAAATGCTCCATATTGCTTTAGTTATTTGTTTTGAATAGCTGATATGAATTAATTATTTATATAGTATGTTTTACTGTAAGTTGACTGGTGATAGTTGGTGTTGTATCAAACAATCCCGTTCAAATAAAGAAAATGGATGTCATTTCCTGAATAAGTTGATTATTTCAAAAGTATACGGAAAACTCATATCTTATAAGTTGACATGGTTTGACTTGTCAAGAATTAAGGAAAAAATGTTAGTGTGGGATAAATTTTACTGTAGAGTACACTGTTTGAACACTGCTTAGCACTGTTTGACACTGTTTTGCACTGTTTTGGTAAAGATTTGTTTACCAAATAAGGAAATAAGGAAGTGTGTCATTGATTGTGAAACAACAAAAAAATGAAAGTGTGTCAAAGATTGTGAAACGGAGGGAGTATTCCTTTAGAGTTTATATTATCCTATGAACATTTTAATTTACTATTTTATCTTTTTGTCTATCGTATCATTTATTCTTTTCTCTTTTCCTCATGGATGCATATTATTATTTCTTACTTCTGGGTATATTTTCTAAAGGAAATCGTTTTGTTCTTAAACATTGCATCAAACTCAAATATATCATACATGTTACATTTAGATATAGGTGTGTCTAGGTTATGACAAACTTTAAAGAAAATGCATCTCCATAAGATGTAATCACCTCAATGAATATGTTAATTTGACATTTGGGTAAGTCTCAATAAACAAATTTAAAATTTAACCTGATTGTCGTGACTTTATGTTAGTGAGAACATACAATTCTGTGGATCGATGTGACTTAACTTTAGTTAAATAAAATAAAATGTGCTACACAAAAAACTTAGCTAATTTGTTTTTTTCTTTATTAATACAACAAACTTTGAACAATGGTAATTTTTTTAAGTTGTAACAAGTGTGCCGTGCAAATAACAAAATCTGATCCTTATAACTTGTTATGTTTTCTTATGTGGTTATCTTTTCTTATTTGGTTATCTTTCCTTTCTTCAAAAATCTCAACTATATAAGTTTATTTTAGTTTTTAACGTTTCAATCAAATTTGACAAATTTATACGTAGTAAATGACAAGAGTAAATCAAAAAGTTGTTTGACTTGTAATTCGTCCCAGACCAGACCAGACCGGATCAGACCAGATCAGACCAGTTCAGACCAGACCAGACTAGACTTGGATAGTTATAAAAATACAAAGAAATCAGACCAAATCAGACCAGTTCAGACCATATCAGATCAGATCAGACTATCAAATTACAGTCCAAGTAAAAACATACTTACTTTTAAAGAAGCCCATTATGCAAAATAAAAAGTCTAAAAGGCAAGCCCATATTGGAATGCACACGTCACTACCCAACTAGGGCTTACAGATCCACAACCTTTTAAACTCGCGCACCCTCTACTGATAAAGTCTCTGCCGCCGAAACAAGGTTTACACGTGAGAGAGCGCTCCTCCGCAGTTGATAGCCTCTTGCTGCCGATCGCTCATCCAAGGTGAGTTTCAATCTCATGTGTTGTTGTACAATCTTAGCTCAATAACTCAAACTCTATTCTCGTTCTCTTTTTGACGCTTTCCGCTCTTTCTATCGTCCGAAAATCTATGCCATTTCATTATTTAGATTTATAAGGTGCATTAGGTAATTGGAGTGATTTATGGAATTCGAGTGAGTCTTCTCTGTTTTACTCCCTTGGATGAGAAAGGAAATGATACATCTTTAAAATCCGGATATCCGAACTAGTGGGTGCTGGAATTAACATGAAAACTGATTTCTTTCCCAACAACTGTATTGTTTGTCTTCTTTGCGAGAGTTTGTTATTTGCTCCTTACAATTAGGGTCGTTTATTCTTCACCTTTAGTCCTTTGGGTTTACATACTAATCTATGCCTGAATTTGGATAAAGACTGGCTTATGTCTTATGTGCAAAAAATGGTTATTAACAATCAAATAAGAAAATTTGCACCGGTTCCTTGATCTATACCATTAAAATGTGTTGAAGAACAATCATTGCTAGGATCAGTCATGTTGAGAAACACATGTTCATCTTCACATTCTTATCATTGATGAAACCGGGCGAAATCTATTTCTCTGCATAGACATTACATTGATATGGTATTTTGTTGTTAAATGTCATCCTCTAAAATCATTTATTAACAGTAAAAGTGAATAAGTAAAGCAACAATAATGGTTCAGTTATCCGTACAAGAAATATCTCATGATGGTCTTCCAATTACTTGTTATTGCATGTTTCTTTTTCCAATTCTCATTCTATATAATTTAGTTTTGGCTTACCTTTTTTATTATTGATTTCATTTATCTCCTATTTTTTCATCCTAGAGATCAGGATTAATAATGATAATTAAAGTAGTACTTGCATTTAAATTGTTCTGTACTTGTCAATGACAACAAATTAATAGCTTTTATCACCAGGTCTCAACATGTACACTGCATTGCAGAAGATTCACAAGGATAAGGATGTTGAGCCATCCGAATTTGAGGAGTCTGTTGCCCAGGTGTCTTATGGCTATCTTTTGAAGTTACAAATTTATGCTTTCTGTTTGTTCTAAATTATCTCATTACGTTTCTGACCCATTGTTAATTCTTCTGCAGGCATTGTTTGATTTGGAGAACACTAACCAAGATCTAAAGAGTGATTTGAAGGACCTATTCATAAACTCTGCTGTGTATGGAATATATATTGATTCCTTATGCTTTTCCATCCTCTACGGTTTCTCATTGTAATGCTTACTTTTATCAAATTCCAGTCAGATTGATGTATCTGGAAACCGCAAAGCTGTTGTGATCCATGTCCCCTATAGGCTAAGGAAAGCCTACCGGAAGATACATCTAAGGCTTGTCAGGGAGCTCGAGAAGAAGTTCAGTGGCAAGGTAACGAAGCATATAATGCCATTGTACTTTCTCGTGAACATTTTAGTTAGTTCTCTATTTTGGCTAAAGTTTGTGTGGTACATGTCTTTATACTATACTTTATCATCACAAAAATATGACCTTGTCATTATTTCATGTACAATTTGCACTACTACTACCTATAACCTAGGGAAAGGAATCTTTTGTCAAACCTTTTCACCAAAAAGACTAGTGGCTAATCAAAGTAAATATTTCATGTTACTATGTATTTTACAAAAATGGGAGAAACGTTGTTTGGTAGTCTTATAATTTTATTATACCAAAAAGTAAGTTAAAAATATTCAAGTATATAATTCATGTTATATTCTACATCAAGAAGTGGTGCGGTCATTAAGAAAAATGGGTTTATATGGTTGATATTGAATTGATAAAGTAACAATAGAGTAAGAATGATTTAGAACCACACAAGCTCTTCCAAATTTGGTATGTCAAATTGTCAATCTTTGTGGGTGAACCGAAAAAGAAAAATGACACAATCTTAGTGGGATGGAGGGAGTACTTAAATGAAAACAAGTTGTAAATTGGTCAAACATCTTGTTTTATGAGACAGCTTATCCTTTATGGGGGTCGTGTTATTCTAGTCATCTACGGAATATTGAGTTCACCAATGATCTTTTTATATGCTTTTGAAATTAATTTGTAACATTGTTTTTACACATCACATCAAACTTCTTTTGTACCAATGTACCTTGATTATCTTATATTTATATTAGTGTATGGCTATTTGCGCAATGTGTTCTTTTCTGATAACTTTTTTATTTGTAGGATGTTGTGGTAGTTGCCACACGAAGGATAGTGAGACCTCCCAAGAAGGGTTCATC